GAAGAATTGAGAGATGGATTTTTCGATGCTGCCTTCTTTAAGCCACCGAAAATAAGTCATGAAGAACTCATGAAAGATGCAGAATTCACATTACCAGCGGGGTTCAAGAAACATCATCCATTGTCATTAAAGCGTTTCTTCCCAAGACAATGGCATGGAATCAAGGAAACTTCCAAACAATTGGTGACTACACGAGCTGGTATCAAGCTCATCAAATCGTTCCTACCTTTCTTTATTTCTTATATTTTGTGTCTGGTTCCCGTTATCAGAAATTGGCTCGGTCGTTACAATTACATCATGGTCATATCGACAATTATCAACCATTCAGGTCGAAGTGTTGGCGCTCAGATTGATGGAGCGATACTAACGATTGTTGGAACTGCGGGAGGATTAGGGTGGGGGGCTTTTGCGCTGTGGCTATCAGATTCTACGGCTGTGGCCAGAAGAGGATATGGAGGAATTCTGGCCGCTTTCCTTCTTGTTTTCATGGGCATGATCGCGGCACTCCGTTCGTATTACATAAGATTGTACCAACTGGTACTATGTGCTGGGATGGCGGTTCTATATACCTGTCTTGCCGATACCTCTGAGACTATTGCTTGGAGGGTGCTATTTGAATATGGTATACCATGGTTACTTGGCCAAGCTATTGCCCTCATAGTGTGCTGTGTTGTAAGTAAAGATCCTTTTCAGAATTATCCCGGGAAAATTGTTTGTCGGTGAGACTGTTGTTATTTGGCTCTGCGAGTCTTGCACATGTTGGAACTTGGCAAAAACTTGCATCTTCGGGATTCAATTAACCCTTTGCCTCCCATATCAGACACCGCTGACATCATCTAGGTAGTTCCTGATGCTGGCGCGAGATCATTGGCTGTGAGCTTACACAATGCCTTTGAAATTATGCAAAAAGGACTCCAACTCCCTCAATCAGAGCCAGTCGCTGTCCATAGACAGCTGGCATTTACTTTCGTCAACCTTTCACAGGCGTACAGAGATTTGGTTCTTGATATATCTGTTACCCGCTTCAAGCCCTCAGATGTTGAGATATTGCGAAATTTAATGCAAGCAGTCATAAGATCTTTCTTGTCTCTCCGAATGGGATCCCATTTATTCGATGATTCCGAAAAGGAAGAAGATTCCGACATAGCTCTATCCCCAGATGCATCAGCACTCAGTATTCGACGGTTTCATTCTGCTTCAGTGATTAATATTGATGGCCCACGACTTCCAAAGCTACAGAGGTCAGATATTGAGGACCGAGCAGTGGAGTTAGTGGCCAGCAAACTTGCAGAACCTACATCAAATTTATTGTCGTGTTTGAAGATGGCTTTACAAAGATGCGATGCTGTGTTAATGGACATGTCTGGACATAGAGTATTTCTCGGTCCTCCTAAGGATGTTTCTTCTGACATTGTGGGTGCGATCACGAGTATCAGAAAAGCCAAGATCAAATATGACGAAGAAGAAGAGCAGTATGTATTAGTCTCCTTGTTTGTTTGTTTTTCTTTTTTTCTTTTAGTCTCCGTGATTCTGTGCTGTTCACATCAGCTTATTGGTTTTCTGGATCTTTGATAGCCCAGATGACATTCTGATGGAATATGATTTCTGCATCTGTTTGGTACATGCTATCCGCTCAATATATAGAGTTTGTTTGGAACTCTCATCCAGGCTGCATATAATTTCTATTTGAATTATTGAATGACCTGGTGGAACATTGGCTATCGGCTATGTTCGGAAGTTCGCCGCTCTCCAAAAATTGAAAAATGTGGGAACAAATTGTACCGTCCATTGATACTGACTTGAACAATCATAGGCTTCTCCAGAACCCAAATTTGCCTCCAACATATTCTGACCATCCTGAAGTTGTCGAAATATTCTTATTTGTCCATCCTATCAGACAAGCTGCAAATACAGCTGAAGCTCTTCTCGTTAAAGTGAACGAAATGCAGCAGAGACGCCCTGGTTGGCGAATTTACCTGCCATCTTATCCATTCGGCAAAGCTCTCCAACGTACAAATGGACAAGTTCGACACGACAGAGGTGGTGTAACAGCAGGTTTCTTTTTCCGAAGTCAAAGAGAACTCGCCAAGACAATGAAAGGAATGGCAAATGTTTATAAACCTGCTCCACGGAAAGAAAGGGCCACAGAGGGGGAAGAAAATTATGACAATCTTGAGCCTACTGATACTAGAGGGGCATATGCCGAAGAAGAAGAAATAGCCATGGACAAGAATTCACAAGCTTCCAGACAGAAGAGGTTAAGATACAGAACTTGGAAAGTCCTTCATCGTTTACAAGGCTTCGAGACTAGATTTGCGTTCAAAGTTGCGATAGTAACTTCTCTCTTATCTGTGCCAGCATGGTTAAGTCAGAGTAGGATTTGGTGGAACAAATATGAAAGTTGGTGGGCAGTTATAATGGTCTGGATAATGATGCATCCAAGGTGAGTACAAAATCGTCGATTTGGATATGACTTGAACTAATTTCTGACAGAGTTGGTGGAAATCTCCAAGATTTAATAACCCGAGCTTTTTGTGCTATACTTGGCGCTGTATGGGGTGGTATAGCTTATGGTGCTGACAATGGAAATCCATACGTCATGGCTGTATTTGCAGCCATATTCATGATACCTATGATGTATCGATTCACGCAAAGTCCCCATCCTCGATCTGGAATTGTAGGTTGCATATCATTTGTAGTTGTTTCACTGGGTGCATATACAGCTCCGAATGATATCCCCGTTGTTACTGTGGCCTGGACTCGAGGAGTTGCTTTTCTGGTTGGTACCGTATCTGCTGTTATTGTTAATTGGTTTCTATGGCCATTTGTCGCAAGGCATGAATTGAGGAAGGCGTTGTCGTCGATGCTCATCTATTCGAGTATCATTTACAGAGGTAAGTTTTATCCTGAGGATTACTGCATCATTTATTAATCAATGCAGGTGTTGTGGCAAAATACGTATATTATGAAGACGGAGAAGAGCCAGGTGTGAAAGATGTGCAACAATCCGGTACGTATTTTTGCCCATAACCTCTAAACAAAACTAATGCTCTTCAAGAAATGCTGGAAGGTCGCCTGAGAGAAGGGTTCGTTAGGATACGACAACTATTGGTATGTTTCAAAGTTCACATTTGGTTTTCTAATTGTAAACATGCTGACGCTTTGCAGGCTCTTACTCGTCATGAAATCCGACTTCGCGGCCCTTTTAATCCACTTCCTTATTCGGCATTAATAGATGCCTGCGAACGGTTTTTCGAGTATCTTGTCTCTGTACGACAGTCCTCACTCTTTTTCCAACCACACTATCTTTCCGAGAACGAGCAGGCATCTGAATCGCTACTCGCCTTTCGACGTGATGCCGTCGCCTGTATCCTCATGAACTTGTATGTTCTCGCTGGGGCATTGCGAGGTGATAGGAAGGTCCCTGTGAGTTTCATTGCCTGACAAGTTAAATGTCTGACACTAATTAAAAAACAGCGATATCTTCCATCCGCAGCATCCGCCCGAAAACGTTTGTTAGACCATATGGCTCTACTGGAATCCATGAATGTTCCTACGACATCTAGTAGTATGTCCGTTAAGTCGAAACGAAGTAAAAGGAAAAGCAAGAGTAAGAAAAACAATGATACAAGTGAGACGGCAAATAACTTGCCCGGAGGGAAAAAATGGTCTCAGATCTATAGTTACAGTACGTACTTTATACTTCCGACACTAAGGCTCTTCAAAATTTGAGCGCATTTGTCTACCCTCCCCAGACGTAATTTAACACGAACTTCTAGGCTACAGTCAGTCCCTTACAGGATGTGTAACACAATTAGAACAGCTATGCAGATACACCAAGGAAATCGTTGGTGAGCAAGGGTATGTGTCATTGTTACCTCTTTCTTCTCTGTTTATATCCTTCATCTTTACACTGAACTATTAAACGTTACTAATCAAAACCGCAACAGTTTTGATCCCATTCTTGAAGACGAATACGAAGATCTCACTCGCGACCGCGTGAGTGCTCACGGATTTCTTGATGGTCAAATTACACCACGAACCACTAGAGGTTGAAACCCCGAGGATATAATGTACAACAGTGGAACTAGTCTTTATACAAAATTGATTAATAGGACCGCTGGCGCAACGGTAGCGCGTTCGACTCCAGATCGAAAGGTTATCCGTTCAAATCGGGTGTGGTTCAATACCTACTCCCTTAATTGATTTATCTTTTTGCTTTCCTTTATACCTTTGTTTGTCCTATATATGATTACTTGGATCTTCCACGAATTGGTTTTGGTGTGCGGTATGCGGTGTATAATGATGCATTTTTGTACAATATGTACTTATGGTACGGCGGTTTCAAAGGAGTTTGTGTTCGATAGACTTATGGCTCCAATCTTTGCTTTTACCCCATACAATTAATTTCACTCTTTTGGCGATATGTACAAAATGCTGATATGTTCCATCTGCTCTTTTTTGCACTGCAACAGCTTCACTGAGTTCGATAGTTTGTATCCATCTCGGAAACACTCTACCGACACTCAGAGAAATTTTATCACCCCACCTTTGCCACGTTGCCTATCCTTGTCAGAATTGTGGAATACGAACAAGGGTTGAGATTTCTTAAGGCGGGACGGCAAGGGATAATCCACATGGGTATGTACCTCAATGGGTATATCTCCTAAACGGCTCTGAAGTGGGACTGAATAGTGAATCTCGAGTGATGAGATCCGCTTTCCCAATCTCGTTAAAGAATACGCATAGAAGAGACGCAAGAGAAGAATATCGAAGCTTATGAATGAATGCATGAGTGTGACTTCTCGATCGATATCTCATACTTGAATTCGAGATCTTCATTCACAAACCATTATAGTTATTTTACAGAAGATCATTAGCTACCTAGAAAGAAGAAGATCATTTTCCCCGACCTATATTCATTCTTCCCTCCCCCTCGCTACCCCTCATCAAAACTCAAACTCAAACCCAGAACCACACATCCTCCATCCCCACCAACCATGGCCAACTCAAGCCACCAATACGACACCATCCAAGGCCCCTACGATTACATCCGCACCGCCTCCATCGCCCTCATCGAGCGCGAAAATGTGCATACCGCCATCACACCCTACATCCAGGAAGCACGCATCCTCGAGCTCGCATGCGGCACCGGGTTCTACACCTATCCCTTCGTATCCTGGGGCGCCCAGTCTGTTCTCGGCGTGGACATCAGCGCCGTCATGATCGACTCTGCGCCGCGTCTCGGAAACGCCGTCTCCTTCATCCAGGGCGATTGTTCCGTTCCGACGAAGTATCAAGATGGACCCTTCGATATCGTGTTTGCGGCGTGGCTTTTGAATTACGCGAGTGATCGCAAGGCATTGGTGGATATGTTTCGCAACATTGCGGGGAATTTGAAGGAAGGGGGGAGGTTTGTATCGGTTACTGTGCCGCCGACTTCTGATCCGATGGCGTCGGTGAATGCGGAGGCGAGCGCGAGACCGATGAGTCAGGGTGGAAGCGGGTATTTGGTGTATAGCCATATTCGAGATGTGGAGGAGGGGATTTATTTTCGGGTGCATGGGGATACGCCGGTGGGGGATTTGGATTTTGAGTGTTATCATTTGAAAAGGGAGGTTTATGAGGAGTGTGCGCGAGAGGCGGGGTTGAAGGGGAAGTTGGAGTGGGGGGTTACGGAGGTGCCGGAGAAGTGGTTGAGAGGGGAAGGGGAGGGAGGAGCTAGTTTGAAGGAGTTGGAGAGTTATCGGGAGATTCCTAATTATGGGATTTTGGTTATTGAGAAGTAGTAATTTGAATGAATTGGGTACAGAGAATTTGCTCAAGTGTTGACTTTGTGTGTGGTTGAAGTGAAGTCGTCATATCGAAGGAGTAATACATGTTCCATGTATGAAACATAGTACTGTGTATACGTCGTGGCGTGGCCCTGTACTCTGATTAATGAACCACATACGAAATCTGACTTCTCTCAGCATTGCCATTATGTCTTGTAACAGCACCAGCCTGTCTACCATTCATCTTCACAGTCTCATCCCCCAATTCTTCTTCTTCAGCATTCGTAAAGATACTCACCTCCTGTATTATCCACACTCCCCACGTAATGAAGCCAATTCACCATCCTAATCTCCTGCATCTTGAATTATGATCTCTGCCTCGACGAGGAATTCCGCGTAGAAGAACCTAATCTCACAGTTTGAGCTGTAGGGAGCCTTAGATGTGGAACGCTGGCCGCGAGAATTAAGGTAGAGATTTCGCCAACATACCAACTGAGGTAGGTGATAGAGTTCTTGTGGAATCGCAATTGTTATGAATCAAAGACTGCGTAGACAATCTGGATAGGTTGGAGAGGTATAAGAATAGCATCGTAGGAAATATGAAATGGTCAATACCATGTCGATAATATATCCCCAAGCTACACAAACAAGTATTCGAGAGCTCCTTACATAAATTGAAGATGAGTAAATAAATATCAGTTCCTAGAAACCATTGCTGAACTAGAAATTTGAGACGAGCAGTAGTGTTGAGATCCCTTGGCTGCAGTCGTCACAAGAAAGCGAATCAGCATCTAGTAGAGAAAATATCACGCCATGTCAGCTAACTGTAACAAAAAGTGTCTGTAGTTACAAACACAACTAGCCTTTCCTATTGATGAGTCTGGGAAAAGAACGTGGAATCTTAGAGGCGGTGATTGCGCGAACAGACGAAGTAAGACACACAAAATTGAGACACATGATGTAATCATCTCAATCAAAGATTCGAGATTTACCGAGGAGATTCGAAGGTCTGCTGTTCCCTCTTTTAAGAGACTTGTGTGCTAAATCATTTAGCAAGCGCTGTTATGGATTAGGAGCTGTGCAATATTAGGGAGATACCTCGACCGAGAAGATATTTTGAGGAACTAACTCTTGTTTTTACATTGCGCCCTGTACAATTCAAATAATTGGACAAATTTTACCCTGCAAGCTACACTAGTAGAGAGGAAGTCGAGGTGAAATGTCAACGGAAAAACTACTCCTGGTATCAGACAAATACCAGTCTCCTTGATATTTTCATCACTTGTATCAAGCCTCGGTGTCTTTGATCATTGCTATTTAGCTCAATGTTCGAAATGGAGCTGTCAAACAGCGTGATCTTTAATTCCGCAAAGTCACGTCTGTGCTTTAGCAGTAGGATTAAAGAATTAGAAATACATCTCCTCACCGTGTGATGGGGTAGAAATTAGCCTGCGAGCTCGCCTGTCGAGGACCTCTCGACTAGATAGGTCAACCGCAATAAAAATTAATACTTCGTAGAATGGCAAATCCACTTTTTAGATTGTAGCAAGATTTTATACGCGTTGAAATCAGATGTCACTTATTTCTTTGCCACCACGTGTATGGGGTCTGGCCCAGAGAACCCTGCCAAACCCCTGGAAATACGATGGATCGGCCCCATAAGACGCACCACGGCTAAATGTCAAATCTCTTCAAGCGATGTGCCCACTCGCGAACTATCGCATGTATTGTCTAATCGGGATACCATATTTTGTCCATACCCCATTTATGCAATGCATGCTCTACACTACACACTCAATTAACGTGGGAGGCGGCCAAAAATGCAAACCTTTTAGGTGCGGTCGCCGAACTGGCGGAGTATCGACGAAAGGAAATAAGCTCAATTCCAGTGGCATGGTAGATGTTTATCCTGCAGGCATTTCCACCCTTCAATTGTCAAACTTTTTTCCTCTTCGTTGTTTGTCGACTTTGAGCCTTGAGAAATCTTCACAATGGAGGCTGCTACAGAGCATGATATCGAGAAGGGTGTACAAGTCCATACCGCCGCCGACAACTCCACAGACCGCGATGGCAAATCCACCATCGATGCTGAGAATGACAGTTCTCGACTTTCTGGTTCCGAGCGAGGCTTGAGCTACTGGAGCGTCAAATTGGAGAAAATCTGGGGAGTGGAAGCCCGTGGTATCACCCGTGTGGCTGACAACGAGAAACATGTGCCGCGTCCGCTTCACGACTATTTCCACATGTTCTCGCTATGGTTCAGTATCAATTTGCAAGCCATGAACATTATTGTTGGGCTGCTCGGACCCTTGGTTTACGGACTCGGCTGGGTAGATTGTATTTGCATTGTCATTTTTGCGAATGCGCTCGCCTCGACATCCATCGCGTACATGGCAACCTATGGACCAGAAAGTGGCAATAGAACTCAGGTATGCCTCTTCGATTTTATTTTGTTTGAGTAGATGCTAATTTTTGCGCTTTGATAGATTATTGGACGTTATTTCATGGGTTATTGGCCCTCGAAAATTGCATGTTGCTGCAATGTTGTTCAGCAAGTAGGCTTCGGTACTATTGGGTGTATCATCACTGGACAGATGATTACAGCCGTCAACGGAGGGAGCTTGAGTCTGGCTGTTGGATGTGTCATTGCCGCAATCTGCATCGGTTTAGTCGCTACTTTCGGTATCGAATACTTGAACAAAATCGAGAGGTAAACATATCCACCATTCTTAGAAGATTGATGTTCAGATTGCTCACAAACAAATAGATTTGGATACATTCCACAAGCAGTTGTTATGTTCGTACTTATCGGTTGCACTGGTGGAGATTTCGATACCCACGCAGTCTCCGTTGGTGATTCCGGAACCATTAACGCTAACCGTTGTTCGTTCTTCGCCTTGATATTCGCTAGTATCATTGGATTCACCGCCATCAGTGCCGACTTTTACGTCTACTACCCCAAAGATTATCCTAAATGGATGACATTTGCATCCACGTGGACTGGCATCTGGACCTCTGTAATTTTTGCCAACATTGTTGGAGTGGGTATCGCTACTGGAGTTCCAAACATTCCAGCCTGGAGCGACGCCTATGACATCTCGTCTGGTGCGCTTCTCTATGAGTGCTATGGCAGACTCGGAGGATTCGGCGGCTTCTGCGTCGTTGTTCTTGCCCTTGGTTCCATCACCAATAATGCACCATGTAGTTACAGTGCGGCATTGACCATTCAGGTACTCGGACGCTGGGCAAACAAGATCCCTCGTTGGTTCTGGTGTGTTCTCATCACAGCAGTTGAGGTAAGCTCATTCTACACCATCCTATTTTCATCTGTTCATAATACTAACACCAGTACAACAGCTCGTCCTTTCCGTCTGTGGTCGCAACAAGCTTTACACTGTCTTTGAGAATTTCCTCCCTATGATGGCATATTGGATTTGCCCCTGGATCACCATCAGTGTCGAAGAATATTTCATCTTCCACAAACTACAAGGCAAATCGTTCGACTGGTCCATTTATAACGACAGAACCAAGCTACCAATCGGATATGCAGCCCTCTTATCATTCCTGATTGGATTTGCTGGCGCGATCGTAGGCATGTATCAAATCTGGTACACTGGCCCTATTGCTTTGATGATTGGGGGTGAATATGGTGGTGACATTGGAGATTGGCTCGGTATCGGCTTCGCGGCCATTGTGTTCCCACCATTGAGATATCTCGAGTTGAAGAAGTTTGGAAGGTAGAGGCTGCTTGTGTATATGATCTCAACACACACACCCACCAGCTTTGTATATATTTGTGGTGTTAATGATAATTATAATAGTTATACTAGCAAATTAGTATTTTTGATGTGAATTCCTTGATTGAGTAGTGGATCGGATGGTGTAATCGATGCTTGATGCAAGCTGTCTCCATCATCTTGCAGCACTATCGCCATGCGCCCTATTCAAAGCTAGTAATACCATGAGGATTCTGTAAGCGTGAGGAGAAGGGTGTTTTTGTACGTGTGTAGCATGTTCAATCGGAAAGTGCTTTAAGAGCATGTGTTGATGTTTCACACCACGGAAAAATCGAAAAATATTTGTGTTTCGAATCTAAACTCTCAAGTTGTAATTCTTGTTTGCCACATCCTAATCCACTCCAGTGAATGAGTGGTATTTCGGAGAAGATGTGCATATCCGAAATAGATGACTCCTGTATTCTGCAAAAATAAAAATAAAATGGCAAAAGAGAATTTCGACGTCGGCATGATTCGAACATGCGCCCCCGAAAGGAATTGATTTCTAGTCAATCACGTTAACCACTCCGTCACGACGCCAGTATATCAGTTTTTGATGCAAGAGAGTAGTTTATTTAAATATCTATTTTCCAGTAAAGACTGTGGTGAGATCTTGTATCAATCCTAGCAGTTTTGAAGAGATTTGGTTGGATACCAGCTGAGATATATGGATCGACGTCCTCCCGTGTATTATCCGAAGTCCCGATCATCCGCCTGCTCCATAAGAGTACACCGTTTGAGCCTGTACATCATATTCATATCCATAGTAGAACAACGATGGACGACTATTTACTGCTGTAAGACATTATCGTGGTTGGGACACTTTTGAACTATTCTTTATACCAAAACTTGAAGAGCCCTCAACGATAGAAAATCGCCAATAAGTCCGTCCGCTTAGTATTCAGGTAGGCTCGTAGGTATCTAAAAAGTTTCAAAAATGTTGTGGCGGTTCGGGCGCCACGAGTTTAGGGACGGAAAACCAGGGTCCACATGGATGTCAACAATACTTGAAAATCTTCATGCAGATTCACTTGATAGCGCATCTCACGTTCTACAAAGCATGCTGGAATCTGTCTCGTCTCACCTGAAGATGTCAAGATTGCATTACAACATAAATAACATTCATTAATGAGTACCTAGGTAGTTTTAAGTCTCGGTAATGGAAAAGGGGTCAAGAAGGAATCATCTTGGACTGAAGTTTGGAGGGCACGGAGGGCTGAACTGGATAACAAAGTACCTACACAATACTATCTACGAAGTATGTACCTAGATAGAGGTAGTCACAACATTATCATCAACATTAAATTCGCGCATTAACCGTTGCACTACTTTACGTGTCACTCTTGAACATAATCATCAGGATGCAGGCTGCATCTGTCTAACGGTCATAAACATCCACGATATCGTCATTTTAGCGGAAAAGGGTTGTCGCGTGAGTTAATGTGCTGATTTAAGCTTTCATATTTCTCCTCTTCTCGATCAGCTCTGATCTACTGAAAGGGATTTATCTTAGAAGAGCCTTTAGCACAGGGTGATCCAAACCAAAAGTGACTCGAGACTCATCCACGTGTACTGATGATTGGTTGGGTAAATCGTTTGGAAGGGTAACTATAACTACCTACTGCCAATTGACTCTTTGATGAGTGAGATGAGTGAGACATGAGAAAATACACCTTGAGAGTTACTGGGCAGTGGGCAGTGGACAGTCATAACTGTCAAAAGTTAGTATGGACGGAGGATTACGAGTGAGTGAGTATATGAATCAAGGAAACTTTTTCATTCCTTCGACTGTAGAGTGCTGGGAAACTTCGTAAAGCCAACAAACATACAAAGATTCATCATACTGGAAAAACGACACAACTCATCACAAGTTCACGGTTCATTATCGTCGTGACTCAAGAGAAAATTAAATATCTCATCTCTCTGCTCTCTAAGAAGAAACCAAGCTTCTGAATCGCACAGGCACCCGCCATTCGGTCGCGAATCTTTCCACGAGGGGGGGAGCAACCAACAATCAATTTACTCTATTTTAATCATAAAAAGACAGGGAAACGGAGTCAGTCATTAATCACAACTCATCTTTTTTTTTCCTTGGGAAGAATTTGGAATCCTTTTCCCTAACTCTCTATATACTACCTATACATGAGAATGATTTCCTTTTCCTAAGATATACCTACTCTTTTCTTCTTTTCCAGTTTGATTTTGAAAATATGCGTTCACACGCAATATGCATAGCAGCTTGTCTGCTTCAATTTTCTCCTGCTGCCGTTGCCAAACCCCTCGGTACCACCCAATCGAGCCTGCAAGTGCCATTGGAGGACCTGGATACTACACACCATCAGCATGTTGCCTCCAAACGTCTGCATGGTAGATTCTTGCACATTACAGGTGGGGTTAAATCATTATTTCGCCATTCAATGTTCCTGTACGATGCTCATTTATTATAGATTTACATCAAGATCCTCACTACAAAGTATTCTCTTCCACCGACGAAGATGATGCCTGCCATAGAGGCAAAGGAACTGCTGGAACATATGGCGCAGAGACCTCGGATTGCGATACACCTCCTACCCTTATAGATGCGACTTTTAAATGGATAAAGGAAAATGTGAGGGATAACGTGGATTTTGTTGTATGGACAGGGGACAGGTTGGTTCTGCTTGAATGAACAGCCAATCGTAGCAATGACGATTTGGCTTTGTGCGAGGAGAGATGCTGATTCAAAATAGTGCACGACATGATAGCGACGAAAAGATTCCTAGAGTTCAAGATGAGGTCCTCGATACGAATAGAAAGATCGCGGATAAATTCCTAGAGACGTTTGGCGATGGGCACGATTTATCGATTCCGGTTATATCAACATTTGGCAACAACGATATCCTTCCACATAACATTTTACTTTCGGGTCCGAATAAATGGTTGAAGACGTATACAGATATATGGGATAAATTCATACCAGAAGAACAGAGACACGGGTTTGAACGGGGAGGATGGTATTATGTCGAGGTTATTCCTAAGAAATTGGCCGTCTTCAGTCTTAATACTCTATACTTTTTTAGCCACAATGCCGCTGTGGATGGTTGCGCATTGCGCTCAGAACCCGGATACGAACATATGGAATGGCTTCGAATTCAACTACAATTTATGCGCGACCGCGGGATGAAAGTTATCCTCACTGGGCATGTACCACCTGCTCGAACAGACAGCAAATCACTTTGGGACGAAACTTGTTGGCAAAAATATACCTTGTGGCTCCAACAGTATCGGGATATTATTATCGGAGGTTTATTTGGGCACATGAACATTGATCATTTCATGATACACGACACTAAAGATATTGATCTCTTATTATTTGAGGGCAAATCTGTTGCGCCTCCTCGCGCGCTAATGGAAGATGAGTTTACAATTTCATCTGCTGGAGATTACTTGGGCGATCTTCGAGAAGATTGGTCTGGATTACCTAATCCAAAACACCTACCGATTGTCATGGACACTGACGAGGAAGAACTGGACTACTCAGAACCAAACAAAGATCCCAAGAAAAATAAAAAGAGTAAGAAAGACAAGAAGAGAGACAAAAAGAAGAAAGAGCTCAAGAAGTTTGGAGGCCCATGGGGTGAAAGATTTGTGGTAACACACGTTGGACCGAGTATTGTGCCCAATTATTTTCCTACTCTTCGGATCATCGAGTACAATATCACAGGGTTGGACGATGTGCCGAGGTGGTCCAATTCAGTTGTGAATAATGTCGAGCAAATTGATTGGCTTGATCAAGAAGAAGAAGATCTATTCAACGTCGATGCCGGTGAAGATTCGAATTACGCAGACAATCGCGATGTTTCTACCGAGAAAAAGAAGAAGCACCAGAAAGACAAGAAGAAGTTCAAAAACCCGACGCCGTCCAACCCAGGATTCATAATTCCGTCCCCTCCTTCAAAAGATGCGCCTCCGGGACCGGCATATTCTCCTCAAAGTCTAACGTTACTTGGGTATACTCAATATTTTGCTAATTTGACCTACATCAACAATCTTGAATTGAAATCAGAGGGTTCTAACGATGAGATTGACGTGGACAAATGGCGTAAGGGTAAACATGGCGGAAAGGTTCCAAAGGACGATGACCCAAACCCACACGCCTTTCATTATCAAGTCGAGTATGACACTTTCACGGATCCAATTTATAAGTTGAAAGATATGACAGTCAAAAACTATCTCAAGCTGGCTCATAGGATTGGCAAGTATAAGCCACAAAAGGGGGATCGTGTTAAGGATGGAGAGATTCTGGAAGAATCAAATGTCTACAAAGATGATGAGGGCAGTGAGAACGATGACAAGAAACAAATTTCTATCTCGGAGAACGAAACCATTGAAGATACCGAGGATCATGATATCGATGCAGAAAAGAAGAAGAAAAAGAAGCACCATCGCAAAGAGAAGAATAGAGTTTGGCTCAGCTTCGTTCAGCGTGCTTTTGTCGGTACAATAGATGAGGACGATATCAAATCCTTTGATGATGGGTTGGAGGAGCATGTTCAAGAACCGCTGGTTCCTGTTCCAGAAAATGGAGAAGGGCATAGTTTGGAATTGTAATGTTCTTTTAGCGTACATGGATTGGAGTTGCATCAGATTGGGTTGGAGTTTGGTTGTTTTACTTGTTTTGCATTTATACCATTACGATGGAAACGAAACATGCATTTGGAGTTCGGTATTTTGTATGGATTATTACACCTCAAATGAGGTTATGCTATGCATTATGGAGCGGTGCGTAAGAATATGATATGACACCGTGGAGTTCTGGTTTTATGGTTCAGATGAATGTATGGATGATGGTATTGCAGTAGCATGGATATTCTTCATCCAAGTCTTTCTCTTACAATACCTAAATAGTTTTCATACGAAAGCCCGAATTGAGGCAAGATTCTACGATCGTACGATTTTCTTCAAGCTTCTTTGTGGTGATGACCTATCCTTCAATTCGAATTAGTCGTTTCATTACCTAAACATGTTTAATTTGCTAAATTGGTTGATACTACGACTAATCCATCAGACGGTCAATCGCCATTTGAAGATGCAGATTTGAATCCCGAATTTTCAAATCCCGATGTGGTATTTACAGACGCAACGCAATCAACCCCAAGTTGGAGTAAGCACCTCGCAGCGTGGTAGTTACTAATGGCTTATCCGATCGCTGGTATGATATAAGACAGGGGTGGATCTAGTGAAGGAGGTGGGATAAAATGACGGCATGTGGGGTAGGTAGTAGGTAGCTTTGGCTCCAATTGCACATTGCAATTACCAGTCGTGCCAGTACACAACATGTATGGAAAATGATCTCGATGATGAATAGGTACATTACGTTGAAGTACCTAGGTACCTAGGTAGGTATAGGAATACGCATTTGTAAGCTGCCGGCATATGAAGTATAGCTTTGCTTGTAGAGCATTCTAAGTGAATGATGAGATTGGCATAACATTCTCCGGACTAGGTAGCTTCTAGACCTTGGAACCCCTCATTCCATTCATAAGAAGGCGAGCTTCCCTTTCCTTCAATCGATATCTAGGTAGTATCTTCTCTATTTCAACATCTCATTTACCATTGACACACTAACGACACGCATAAATACCTATACATACACTACAAAACATTAACTCCAACCATCAATCTTAACTATCCAAACCATCCAAACCATGACCTACGAACGCCAACGCGCAATCGAATCCTACGGCTGGACATCCGTCCCCGCCTCTCTCTCCAAGCTCATCCAATCCTCCCCTTCAGCCTCTAACCCCGCTTCCGCGCTCCAACTATCCGATCTCCCCTTCCCTACATCCCCCCTCGTAAAGAGCGTTCAGGAATACGCACGTAGTGAATTACCACAAGAAACCTTCCACCACTCTATGCGCGTCTATCACTACGGCGTCGCGATTCTCACGCACGCATTCCCAAACTGGACATCGATCAACCCTTCTAGTAAATTTCTCGAAAGCTACGCGCTCACGGCGCTTCTGCACGATATCGGAACCGTGCCGAGACATTTGCAGGAGACGCTTATGAGTTTCGATCTCTACGGGGGTTTTATTGCAGATGGGGTGTTGAGGGATGCGGGGGCGGCGAGAGAACAGCGGGAGTTGGTTGTGGAGGGGATTATTCGACATCAGGATTTGGGAGAGGTGGGGACGCAGACGAGGGTTGGGGGGTTGGTGCAGTTGGCGACGGTGTTTGATAATATGGGGCAGAATGCGCAGTTGGTGCACGAGGGGACGATTGAGAATGTGGTGAGGGAGTGGCCGAGATTGGGGTGGAGTATGTATTACCTTTTCCTTTTTCTTCTTCTGTGTCTTTCTCTGTGATGTTTGGGAAGGATGGATTGTGGATATTGGATGTGGTTTGGAGATATTGGGAGGCATGGGGAAAATAAAAGTCGAGGTGCTAATTTGGCGGTGCTGATAGGTAAATGTTTTTCGCATACCATCGAGCAGGAGAATGCTTTGAAACCATGGGCTCATTCGACACATTTGGGAGTGAGAGATTTCCCCGATGGAGTGTTGGGGAATAAGTTGATGGAGAAGTGGGACTGAGAATGCGGACGTGTGGGCAAGGGACGAGTAAGGGTGAGTAGTATGATGATGGATGAGAAATTACAAGTGAATGACCCATGAAACAACGAGACGAAAGGAACGGAAATGGCAATCGGAAAGGAGCAATGGCTTGGAAAATTAAATGATATCTACGGCGTGGAATTACGATTTCAATGGCAATACAGCAGCAAAATAAATCTATCTTCCCTTACCATCCCAAATTCTCCCCAATATATCTTCAAACCCCAATCAATCCATCAACAAACCAAACAAGGCGTCGTGACGGAGTGGTTAACGTGATTGACTAGAAATCAATTCCTTTCGGGGGCGCATGTTCGAATCATGCCGACGTCGCTATCTTTTTGCTCATCGATCATTTCCATCCATCCATACCACTGTAATTTTTATACCGGCTCCCATCTCCCAACTCTCCATTCATCCATCCACGCATCTACACACTCAAAACAAACTAACCAATCTCTCCACATCAGTACATATTCTCTTTCGACCTCTTTCTTCAATCACCTACCTACTTACCCATCAAGCTTTTGTGGATACCTACTAGGTAGCTATGGATATATCCCATGTGTTTTATTTGCTGTATGCGGGCGGATACCTACCTAGGTATGTGGATGAAGTGAGTGAGAAAATGTGGATTCGGCAGTGAAAACTTTAACGAGCGGTGGAAATGAAGATCCGTTATATGTAACTTACATATTATGATATTACATGTAGTTATCAGGGGCCAAGCGAGATCAGATCGGATCCACCGTTCAGTCCAGTCCTGGCAGGAGAGATCAAAAAATACAAAGTATAGAAAATTATGTACTGTATATGTACGAGTACTCTTATTGATATTTCATGTCGGATCAGATTATTATTATGAAATCGAATTGAGAGTTTGTATAGAGATGTATTTATAAGGGTTTAATTAATATAGATTGATAACAACATAGGATATTGCAATATAAAGATTTTCAATGTATGATTGATTGATTGATTGATTTCCTTGGAGAGATTTGGTGTACCGCTTTTTTCGGCTACATGGCGCCACCTTTCACCTCGTGCCGTAACCGAGCCTTATGAACGTTCCCATGCCCCGTTTTTGTAATTAAGCATTTGTCTGTATTACCGTATACATAATTTCCGATTATGTTTCTGCTTTTCCGCATACTGAGGCGCGAGATTGTTCCGGAGTGTGGAATTTATTGAATACAGAGTATACTGTACATGATGTCGAGGAAATGAGGATTACGGAAGGGGTGGTCGTTGTTCGATGGATAGGTAGGTCTAATACGATTTCAAGCCCTTGATTTCGGTGTGGATTCACCGATATACACAAGATCTGCCGCCACACCTAGTTTCATAGGTAACTTTCAAAGCTGGTTTCAACATGTTCATCGTATCCTTTGCCAGCCTTACAACTAATGTCCGGAAGATGTTGCATGGAACATGGATAAACAATGAGTATCAGATCAACCCAAGCAACTATAACAAACTACTAGTAAGTATACAGGGCAATGCCTATCGACCATGAAGACTCTTGGGAGGAATTATGTTCTACACGTGAGAAATCGGATAAAAACTTAGCACTCTTGTATAGCACAATGGCATATAAAGCCAAGCCATTATTCGATGTGTGTTCCATGCGCCATGGCATAATCTAGAATTCTTTGACCATAAGCCTCCGGACTAATGTATTTGGGCGGACCGTCAAGAAACAGGACGATTTTGTTGGGATTAAACCATCAACCGACGCAAGGTTAGTTGAGCTGGCATTGTGATGAGGGGCCCATCAACCAACTATGAACCTATCCTTCGTCAGTCGGCTTCCTTTCTTAAGTACCGCAATAATTTACAACACTTTTATGGTCGTGTTGTGCAGTTGAGGCGAACGGCGGAATAGAGTTCTGGGATGTCAAATCTCTGGCAGCCATGCTCATGAAAGATTAGCACTCTACAGTGAGTTTCGTGAACAAGCTCACACAAGCTCACACAAGCTCACGACATTCTCTTGGCCCTTGGATATTCCAAATCCAAGAAATTAGTACCGCAGTTCGGTGGTCAACCTTGATTTGAGCAAGCGAATATCAAATTTCGGAAGCGAATGGCAAAATGCCAGCATAAGAAAGGGTGGCTTGCGCAGTCATCTGCACAAATGACCAGATAATTTGATGCTCATGCAATAACAATGCTATCTACAGCCATCTTAGCCATTTTGAGGATCTCCAAGCACCCCCTTGTTCTCTCCCCATAGCATTGCCGGGCAGTCAAATCTGCAACCTTCAAATCTGGGAAGTGGCCATGCTCTAGAGATCGCACGCCCGCAGCGACTTGTGCATCTAGTATATTGTGACGAGCGTTCTGTCTTTGCTCCATCTCGGAAACGAGATCTCTTAATCCTTTGTACTTGAATCCAGGTTGGTCATGGCCATAGATGTCAGCTCGCAACAAAGCTCTTACAGTAGTTCGCCACTCTGCTGGTTGCATTTCTCTATCTGCTATGGATAATGCGTTGCCTATGCATTCTACTGCCTCGTTAATTGGTCTTTGGTGCTCGCATAAACCACCATAATCAAGATACCTAAATATTTTGGTCTGCCCTTTAGCAATTGCCTCAGCAGTCGCTTCATCAACCATTTTTAGTAAACGGCCGTATCCATTCGCTATGATAGGTAGTATAGTTCCGATGAGCATTGTATTTTGGAAGGCCTCGATAGGGGGTGTGGGTGAAATCAACGCTATCGCACCACATGAGGGGCACCAGATGGCTTTGGATGCCACAATACTGGCGCCACGAACTACCTTTAAAGCTTCATCGATTTCACTTGGGAACTGTTGCAATGCTGATAGTGACAAATACATTGATGATAAGCAGCTGCATTTATCGCCTGATATTGGAAAGGGGCCATCACTACCACTAGGTGAAGAGGATGAAGGATTTGACCCCGTTGATAATCCAGCTTCTTGGTTGGCTTCAGGTTGAGTTTCGCCCAGTTTTTCCATATTCATAATACTAGAGTCGATAGGAGCAGGGCCTGGCATATCACCGTTTCCAAAATGCCATATGTTCTGGCCATCATCTACATTTGAGGCCTGGAGAGGATTTGGGGTGTCCAGAGGGAGAGATTGTGGAAATTGCTGGGCAGCATCAAATCCATTGAAATTCGAATTAGTATAATATGGTTCAGCGAAGTCGTTATCATCGAAATTGTAAAGTTCATCGCCAAAGAAAGGGAGTAATGTGCCATCATCGAGAAGAGGTTGTAGGTTGTTCTGTGTGGTGGGTGGTTCATCTCTAATAGTTTCGATAAATTGACGCTTTCTTGGTCTTCCCATTTGTTTCTGTTGAGAGTAATGACATGTTACATTTTCTCGCACACATCTTTCACATCCATTAGGGTCTTTTGAGCATGCAAGTTTTCTGATTCCTGTGTCCAATCAGTAGTTGTGCAGAGGATGATACTCTCTAGGTAGTTCTAGGTAACTCACTGCACTCATCACAAGCCCGACGTTTTGCCGCAGTATCCTTTTGTTTACCTGTTGAATCCATCACCATGAGAATCACCTTGCTAAGAAATGGAATTGTGATTTCAGATAACTGATGAGGCAGATTGGTCTCAATTCAATGCAAAGATGGCTAACAGTTGTTTCTGACTGTATTTCATATGTAGAGCAGGGTTCGAGAGGGTCAACAGAGGCTACTGACATGCTCCAGAGCAACAAAAGACGCTAAGATAACAACCTCCGATAAGCCCTTCGAGCAATTTTTCCAGGGAAAAAAATCTAATAAAGCTTTCGGATTCTAAACAGTGCCAAAATTATTGCAAATTATTGTAACAATGGCACCTCCAACGAATCAACGAAAGCGCAAAGCTGTTACCCGAGATGAACCTGAGTTGTCCGATGTCGAATCTGAAGCAGAATTTGGTGATGGAATTTTAGAAGGAATCTTGTCGCAAAGTGAAGATGAATCGGACGACAGCGCAGCAGAGGAGGACAGTGAAGACGAAGAGGATTTGGATGAGGAAGAACTCGAGGCATTGGATAGTGATGAGGTACCCTCAGAGAATGGTGAGGGAGACGCATCTACGACAAGAACTTCCCTCAGCAAAGCCAATGCCGACGAAGACGATGACAAGCCCAACTACACTGTGGTGAAGGATGCTAATGGAGGAGAACGTTATGTCTATGAAGAGATAGACCCAGTCTACGACTCTGATGATTCAGATGCCCAAGAGCCAACTAATACTATTGGAAACATCCCATTGTCTTTCTATGATTCTTATCCTCATATTGGTTATGACATCAATGGAAAGAAAATTATGCGACCTGCAAAGGGTGAAGCACTTGATGCATTGCTAGACAGTATCGATATTCCAAAGGGATGGACAGGTCTTACAGACCCTTCTACAGGCAAGCCTCTCAACTTGACTCAAGAGGAATTGGAGGTTCTGCGCAGAATACAAACAAATGAAGCTCCTGAAGATGGTTACGACCCATATCCTGTAAGCACTTCTTTTCATATCTATGTTGTATTATTGGACTAACTTGGTGTAGGACTATGTTCCATATTTCAGCGGCGTCGAGGAGATTATGCCTCTGAGCTCGGCTCCTGAGCCTAAACGACGTTTCCTGCCATCCAAACATGAAGCAAAGCGAATCATGAAGATTGTTCGGGCAATTCGAGAAGGTAGAATCTTACCATATAAACCACCACAAGAGCGCGAGGAAGAGGAAGAAGAACACCACTACGATATATGGCAGAATGAGGAGGCGCAACCAGATCATATTATGAAGATTCCAGCTCCAAAGCCACCTCCACCAGGATACGATCTAAGTTACAACCCACCTCCTGAGTATCTCCCATCTAAAGCAGAAAGAAAAGAATGGGAAGCTACAGATCCTGAGGATAGAGAAAAGGAGTACCTACCAACGGCATATGATTCTTTACGAAAGGTACCGGGATATGATAAGTTTATCAATGAGAGGTTCGAACGTTCGCTTGATCTCTACTTGGCACCGCGAGTTCGCAAGAATAGGCTTAATATCGACCCTGCTTCTTTACTTCCAAAACTACCAAAGCCAGAGGAACTTAAGCCTTTCCCAACTGTCACGCAGACGTTATTCCGTGGCCATGATGGTAGGGTACGAAGCTTGGCCATTGATCCATCCGGAACATGGCTGGCTACCGGCGGTGATGATGGTACTGTTCGTGTTTGGGAACTTTTGACTGGAAAACAACTCTGGAGTGCGCAGATAGGAGATGAGGAGGCTGTTAATGCTGTTAAGTGGCGCCCGGCGAAGGACGCTATCATACTTTCTGCCGCAGCTGGAGAGGACATATTCCTTATGGTACCTACCATAATTGATCCTGTTTCTGAGAGCAATAGCCGAGAATTATTAGATGCTGGATTTGGTTATGCAACAAATGCCACCCAAGCACTTACGGCCAACGGACAGAAGAAAGAACCTGTCGCTACCTGGGCTCGTCCTACCTCGCGTCTACAAGATGAAGGTGTACTAATCAAGATCACTGTAAGATCCACAGTCAAGGTCATCAATTGGCACCGAAGAGGTGACTTCTTTTCTACTGTATCTCCTACAGCTCAAAAGTCCGCCGTTGCAATCCACACTCTCTCGAAACATCTTACACAAATTCCATTCAGACGTCTTCCCGGTATCGCCCAAACTGCTCAGTTCCATCCCTCCCGACCCATTTTCTTCGTTGCCACTCAACGCACAATCCGCAGTTACGACTTACAAAAACAAGAATTGGTCAAGATTATTCAACCTGGTGCTCGCTGGATCTCTTCTTTCGATATACATCCTGGAGGTGACAACCTCATTGTTGGTTCCTATGATCGTCGTCTCTTATGGCATGATCTCGACCTTTCTACCCGCCCATACAAGACTATGCGTTTCCACAATAAAGCTATTCGAGCTGTCAAATACCACAAAGGTGGTCTTCCATTGTTTGCAGATGCTAGTGACGACGGAAGTTTGCAAATCTTCCACGGAAAGGTTGTAAGTGATGCGATGGAGAACGCTACTATCGTACCAGTGAAGGTTTTGAAGGGACACAAGGTCAAGAGCGCTTTAGGTGTCATGGATCTGGACTGGCATCCAAAGGAGCCTTGGCTTGTTAGTGCTGGTGCGGATGGTACATGTAGATTGTGGACTTAATAATGCAGTGTTAAAAAATGGAGTACGAAGGTGTTTACAAGGTTGTCATGAGGTTCTATTAGATATCAATGGTAGAAAAGCATGAAGAATTTGATAATTTTTACAATTGATTTTGTTTTGTTATTTCATTTCCTGGTCTCTACAAGTGTGCTTGAGTAAGAATGTGAATATCAGTCCGTCATTCCCAATACTTGATCCGCGACATTGTGGTCATGGTGCGTATGCTTTACTCCATATCCTATGAGGCAGCTCCCTACTCGTCTTTGTAGGTTACCAATTTATACTTTCGTTTTTGCGAACTAGCACAACTTACGACTTAGGATACAGTGGAAGATACCTACGTCACATAAAACATGCAAAACCATACTAGGAACACTTTTGAGGCTCAAAAACAAAGTGACCAGACGTATGAAAAGCGTCTTACATTTCAAACCACGCGGAGGGCGGCGTCTTCCGAGAATTTCCTTGGGCCGATTCCTTGGCTCTACAACCTCGCCCCAATTTTGCAAAATACGACATATTGGAGACTCTGATATGAAGTTAGGTGCTCAAGACTCCAACTAGCATGACTTTCAGTCAATCAGACGAAAGTCGCTTTTCTCAGCCCTCGCTGTGCGACTCAAGGCTGCGCTTGGCGAATGGTTGCCTTTGGTATCGATATTGTGCAGAGTTACTGGAAGAAAGTCAGGATGAGGAAATATGTGTTAAAGCATTGAGGCAGTATCGGACATGAGACGAAGGGATCGACTTTGCGCCATTGCAGTCAACAATTTTAACCGAGCGGAACATCTCTGTGTCTTTGTGCTGTATGCATATTGGGATGTAACATTCAGGGCAATGCCGAGATTCTCAGAAATCTAGCTATTTGGCACAAACCAGTAGAGGAGTTCCTGCACAATAGATTTGTTTTGAAAATCGTGAATAATCATGATAGAGACAGAGAGTCGGAGTGATCATCTATGGAACGAACGCATGTGATAACCTCGGTTACATAAGAGACCTACGTTCAATTGAAAGTAATCTTGGGCAACATAACATACAGGCAACTACTTTCATGGTTGCAAATTCGAATCTTCTTCAAGATACACTGAATTTTACTTCATGATTGGTATGCCCCTGGCTGGAGAGATGAGATGTCAAGTGATATCAGCCGAGGATAAGCGCAATCATGAAATGGCAATCAACGGGTAATTACTTCAAAGCTTCAGAAGAGCAGCAAATTTTAGCCCAAAACTGTCGGCAATATTATGCCAGGCATCATTTATTAACAAAGTGAGGCGGACAGCACCGCCTCGAATGAATGGTTCAAACGTAACCTCGTATGTCACGGAATTCGAATCCCGCCCTATATCGGCGGCTTGTTTTGCTCCTTCAATTCCGCCACATTCATGAATTTGCGCGCAGAAGGGCGTTGGTAGTAAGATTTACAATAAGCAGTAGATATGCTTTTTCGACAATGCACATACCTGCTCGATCTCATATACTCCGATGTTCGGATACCTTCATATGACCACCAAACGCTCTGAGCAAGCACAGAGTCGATACCTAAGCCGCCTTTTTAGCAAAGCATGTATCCGAGCTTTGCAGTGTAAGAAGGATCTAAGTAGATTCATAAGTATCTGGTTTTCTTCTTGATTTTTCTCTCTTCATTCATTATCAACGAAGTTATTCAACTTTCAAGCCTTGTTGTGGCATTCGCACTTCGAGTCAAGCATATATATTATCATCTTAGCCTTCTCTTCTGGCCACATCTAACCTCCCTTTAACTCCCGCATTAGTAGCATACTACCTCAGCAAATCACCAATCATATCGGGCTCCTTCGATTAGCAAAATCATCATTCGTTCCTAACCCGTTTCGTAAGTCATTCGCCTAAGCCTTGTCAGACGCCTCATATCTAACATTCCGAAAGTCCCTTTAGCCTTTCAGGATGGCTCCACCTGTTTATAATAATAACACTGAAGACACTTATCGAAATGATTTAGATGACTGGGCAGTCATTTGTCAATCCTGTCTCAAACCTGTCTCGGCAACCAGACCTCCTATTTACAATGAGGTTAACTGTAGTTGCTCAGAGCTTGGCACTCGTTCTGCTGGTATCATCCCGGCCACTCGGTATGATACCCAATTGTGGGAGCCAAATATTACTGTTTACAAAGAACCTATCTATACATATCAACGTCCTATCCAGGGATATGTTTCCTCACACAACCAGACTTCAACTTTGCATGAAGAACTTCTTGTTTATGAGAACAGCAAAAAGTTCGGGGACTTTGAGACCAACTGGAACAATGATGATCTCAAAAATGGTACCAAGAATACACAAGACCAGCCATACTCTGTCGAAGGCTACTCATGGGCTCTCCGTTCCTGGCTGAAGGAAAACGAATCTTCAAACACTCTCGCATCCAAATCTTCATCAATGAAGGCAAAGAAGGGAAGCAAGCGAGGTGACTCCAGTCTTCATAACTCTGGCAGTAGTATGGAACTCGGACAAAACGGATGGGGACCTGATCCTCTCACAGAGACTGGAGCTTGGACTAGTGAACAGTACCAAGACATAATTGAGAGTACATTGGCCATGAGTGGCATGAACAATTCTTAGTCGTGGCATTTTGCGTAGTCGTTTTGGTTCCGACTTAGTATGGATATTCTGAGACTTTGGTCTGGGAAATAATGCTGGAAGAAGTCATGTATTATGAAGTGTTTTCTTGGTTCGACAATCTTTGATTTTCGGTGCAAGGGGTGTTAGCATGGAGGTAAATTGACTGAGTAACAAACTTTCGTTATGGGTTCGCGAGACTTGGGTGCTAGAAGGAGCAAATTGGAGTTATTCAATCCAATCTTTCACTATCAATGCTCAAAATAGTTTTGAAAACTCCTATACATTGAGCATATTCTACAAGGTTGAGCGGAGATGCGGTCGTTCCTTCCTGATTCTCCAGTTACCCTCCCCGATCTTACCCATCACTTTATTCTCTGCTTTCTTTTTTTGTTCCACTCAACTGTCATGTTTCCAATGAATATCAAAGTATGTGCAGAATGTAATTAATATTGGAGACATAGAAAATTGTGGAGTAAAGAACTGATTCATCTAAGAGTTCATCTCTGACTACTCTCCTCACTATCTTTCTCCATTAGCACTTATTGTTCTGTATTCTGGTTCATATCTTTTATATCAACATATCTCCCTTCGTTCTCATCTGAATCTTCCAATACCATCTTGTGAGCCTAGAGTCAAGGGATGGAGCTCGCTGACCCTAAGAAAGGAGGCCCTTATATATGAGAAACAGGCTTCAAAAAGCTTTCGAGCAAATGGTGAATTCATCTTGGTATTCTCTTTTTTTGCACCACAGAGTCATTTGAAATTCTACCTATCATAGATAGCTAGGTAATACCTATCATTAGATGCCAAGGTAATATCGATCATTAGATGCCTAGGTAATACCTAGGTAATTGTCTACAATTTCAAAATTTGATTCGCAATCCATTGTCTTTTTTTGCTCTTCCTTGTCTCCTGTTTCTATTTTATCTATCCTCTTCTAAATCGCACTCTCTCCGAATTTCTCTCACTCCTATCACAGTACAAAGTCTTTCGTTGATGTAGTCATTGGTTACTGGAAATACATTCATCAAACGGAGCCATTTATTCAGAACATCTGCAGTGTTGCAGTGTTTATAATTATCCACGCCGTACCTAAAGTTACTGTTGATATTCATGACGATATTCTACATTTTGATCCTGTTTCCTGTTTCTCATCATAAATACATTGTTGTGTCTATCCGTCTTGTCCAGTGAGGCAGCTTCTTCAAGTATCTTTCCCCGAACAACAAGTTTACCATACAACTCATTGAATTACCACCTCTTTCCCAATATCTAAAACTAAAATGCCTCCATCGAGCTATTTCCAGCAGTGGCCGGAATTCCCTTCCAATGTACCAGTCGCCAATATGTCAAGAATCTCCTTCAAGAACTTGCAAAGCAACAATTCTAACGAGTCTGCGAGACTTTTTGACGCATGCAGAGATCAAGGTCACTTCCTACTTGATTTGAAAGATTCTAATAACGGAGAGACCCTGTCTAGTGAGGCAGGATCTATGATGGATGTTGGTAGAGAGACACTTGATCTTGATCAACAGATTTTGGATACGTTCATGTATAAGCCACCAAAGAGAATGGTTGGGTATGTAGTCTGGATATCTCTTCTTGAAAGAAAAGAGCTAATAGATGGGTAGATACAAGCCATCTCGGACTCTTCAAACCCCGACGGACGCATAGATTCTGTCGAGTTCTTCGCTATTTCCCAAGATGATGCCGTTGGAAATAAACAACCACTTACTAATCCGCAGCCAGTAGAGCATGACCGCGATAACATCAATAGTTTCTTCGAACACGCTCACGGAGCACTCGACCTAATCCATTCCCATTTAGACATGATGATGGGTTTAGCGCCAGGTACACTTGAAGCTTTGAGCTCTATCAACAAACTTCTGACACAAGCATTAGAATGTTGTGCACTCGACCCAAATCAGTCAAAGAGGAGTTTGTCACCCTCAACAACCATACATAAATTGGCTCAATTACATTATTGTTCACCGTTTGTGGTGGCCTACAGGTCTTGGGAGCAGGAATAGATAACATCGAAGCTAATTGGAGATATGTTAGACCGGAGCCCGGTTGCGTCATTGTTCTAATCGGAGATACAATGGTAGAATGAACTGCGGGAGCTGTGCGTGCTTCTATACACCGTGTTGTTACTGCACCGGGAAAACAGGCTGCAGCGACAAGATCGGGTCTAGGATATTTCCTAAGACCTTCTCATACTACGAGAATGTCTAGATTGGTTAGCTACAACGGCACTATCCCTATGCTGGCACCGGGAGAGGTCGGAGATGAGCGCGGTGTACGTAATGGGCGCAGTGGAAAGCGAATGGAGATGTAGCGGCGGCGGTTGAGGCGGCGGGCAAAGGAAAGTAGCGGATTTAAGCGATTGTATTAGTTAGAAAAGATAATGAAGGGTACTTGTTCATTCTTGATCTAATATTACCTGGCAATTTACACATATAAATCCACTTCCATGTAAATCTCTTATGCTCTGCTTGTCTTGTTCTTTGAGTCTTTCCCCATTAGTAGCTTACACTCTTAAGCTCTCCAACCTCCCCACCACAAATTCCATCAAAGCCCCCGCTTCAACCCCATTCACATCTTCCCTAACCCCCAAACACCTCTCCACCACCTCTCTATACCCCTCCCAACTTTACTCCCCAATCCGGGCACTAAATTCTGCGCCACAATCTTATCCCTAAATTTCTCCGCCGAGTAATGCGGTTTATGATACGTCTGCAATGTTTTCCACAAACCAATCTCTAGCAATATCAATCCTAGAGAGTAAATATCAAAGGATTTACAATACTCTTTGCGCGGACAAGAAGAGGAGTGTAGAGACGAAGGATGACGGTGGAGATCCGCTGCTGTAGGATTGCGAGATGCGATGGACATTTCTCCCATATGATCTGGACGGGAAGCGTCGAATCCGAGGAGATACGGTGTGCTTATATCTGGTACATTTTCTCGTTCTTTTGAGATACGGGGACTTTTCGTGTATGCACTGGGGAAGAAGAGGATATTGGAACTGCAGAGATTTTTATGCAGCCAATCTAAGGAGTGAAGGGACCAGAGGGCAACAGAAAGTGTATGAGCGAGTTTAAAGCGGTCGCCTAGGTCTGGGGTGCGGAAATCGTTGCTGGTGATGAGAGAATTGAGGGTTGAGGAGGAGAAAGATGGGGAACGATAGATAAGTCCGTAGCGGGAAGATGTGCTATCGTCTGTGTAGCCGAGACAATCAACTGTATGGAGATCTGGATGACGATCAGAAGCGCTATGAATCATGCGTGCGAGATCGTCTATTCGACGAAGATGATTTAATCGAGCATCGAGGTCTTCTTTCTCGTACTCTACCCATTCAACTATAATTTCTTGTGGCTCGGCTAATGATGGGTTTCTATATTGCCCATGAGTTCTTCCCATATCTGCATTCTTGACAACCAACGTATGGCGTTGAATCTTCAAGGTATAAGTTGGCTTGAAATTCTTGGTTTCCTTCTCGTCTAGGTTGATTCTCAATTGTTTGAGATTGGCCGAGACATTCAATGCTGGATACACCCCACTACTCGCCGCCTCCAGATCTTTCAGCTTGTCTAAATCTCGATGCGCACCTTGTAATAGTTCATTTGTCCACGTCCTGTGCAGAGTTGCTAGTCTTGATGGTGGAAACAGCTGTTCCAACCCATTATTATAATCTTTCAGATCCTGCAAAAGTACTGTGAACTTCTCCTTATCACTAATAACCCATTTAACTTTCTTCGACAACTCACTCCTCAAACTCAATTTTCCCATTCCAAAGCCTCCTTTCTCTTTCTCCACCTCCCTATTGCAACTTTCTCTCCTCTCAATCTCACCTCTCCCTCTGCTCTCTTCTACAACCCCATACTTCTCTCTCAACCTCTGGAAGTCTGTAATAGTCCTATACAACTCACTCAGAATTTCCATCGCCAAACCTCTCAACCTCGCATTGCCAATCCCCTCTTCTCTTTTCAACTCCTCCTCAAATTTTCCCTCTAAAACCCCCCACTCCCTACCCCAAACCAATAATCTCATCTCCTCAATCTTGATTTTGCAGATAAGTTTTTCCGAGTCTCTTGAGAGATCAGAAGCGGTTGTGAAGAGTGAGTAGGCTGTTATACAGCCGGAGAAGATTTGACCAAGAACTCCAACGGCTCCGACGATCGAGAGAGCTGTACCGAGGACTTCTGCCATGGCGTTGGTTATAAAGTAGGGGATATGAGATGAGAGGTAGTTTTTTGAGAAGAACGCGAAGTGTAGGTGTAATGCGAAGTTATTGCGTAAGTGTATACAAGACAACGCTACCTAATCAATAGACTTGTACATAACTAATAGGCTAATACCCAATCTCGTGGTAAAAATGCACATCAACATGAATAATCAATGGGGATGAAAGATATCTGTTATATCATTGAAGAAATACCTACTAATAATATAAATTTGACAGATCAGCTTGTGGTTAGTGAGGGGAAGAAAAAGTTTGGTTGCAGGTGATGATAGTGGCTTACTAGGATTAGCAATGCAGGTCTGCGGCTGTCTACCACTCGTGATAGGTGGGATGGGCCATCTTGCATTTCTACGAAGGCTGTGAAATTGTGCAAGAAATGACTTAGTTATTTCACTTGCATACGGAGGGATTTATTCTTGCAGCTTCTCTATGATGAAGTGCAATCTCTTCAGGATGTGCTAATAATACTATGTTGTTTCGAGTCATGTTGAGGGCCCGACCTCGAAACAATAGTCTTTTCATTTTATTGAAACATGCAGGAAACATATTTGGCTCATAAGTCATTCATATACTTTGTAGATTGCCAGCTCTGAGATTTACAGTCAGAAGATGTTGACGCTGTACTTAAAGTGAGCCGCCCAATCTGCTGAATCTCCCTTTCAAGGAAGAAATGATAACAATGATAGAAAACTTTCCCTCATCAAATTGAACTCCGCCCTAAATGCACGGCTCGCTGTTTGCTTTTTCCTGAACCTTCACTCCTCTGCTCTCGTTTCAATCTCACCACCGAAGTTTAGTAGACCTTCTTCTTCTCGTCGATGGAGTATTTCCCTGGTCCGCTGTTGACAAGGAGGAGGAGACCTCCTACAATAGATAGAATTTGGAAGAAATCGTACTTTGCGAAGTCCTTGTGGGGGTGGAGTTCGTGAAGCTATGGTAAATTAGTCAAGTGCCCCGCATAAGCAATAGAGCTTTACTTACAGTCCAAAAGTTGTTTACCAATACGTTAAAAACACTCAAGATAAGCACAAGCATGATAGCACTGAACTTTGCCTTGAAGCCCACGACAACCATAACACATGCAACGAGACCGAAAAGTGCCACAATCACTCTCCAAACACTCCAGGTGCCACTGAAAACAAATCCGACGAAGAGGAAGATCAGCAAGACCCGGCCAGCAAGCTGGAAGTACATTTTGCGGTCTTTCTCATCGATCTCCGGGAGACCAGCAAAAGCCTTTGATTTGCGGACCCATGAGTCGGACAGAACCATCAATAGACCACCCATGACCGAAAGGTTTCGGAGGAAAAAGTTGAGATCGAAGATGAGACCGTATCCAAGAGCTTGTACGATTACTACGCCAATCAATCCACCGACAGCGTAATCCGAGTATCTTCGTGTGATAACAAGTGTAGAGCATGAGACCATTGCGAGTACGTTAACGATCAGGAAGAGATGTGTAAGACCGCTTGGGACTAGAAGATTGTTAATTATGCTGTGCCATGTTCTGAACAGATAGGTAGCATACTGTGTCGGTAATCATGCAGATATAATAGTTGATCGCTCCACTGTGTAATTATTCTCAATGCATCTTCCAGGAATGTAACGACAATCAAGAATCGTCCGATGGCTGGCAAGTATCTGCAAAAGAGTAGGAGTTAGTAGATTGAAAAATTGCAAGTAAATTCAAGCACAGAATTGGGCCCCTCAAGCTGTCCTCTGCGGGGTCCTCTGAGGGACATGAACATACGGCTTAACCGGATCACTTAATGTATCCAAGAAATCCTCAATCTTGCTTGTTTGTTCTCTGATCGCATCGAGAGTGCCAGATTCGTTCTGTTTATCCATACCACCCATACTTGTTCCTCCTCCGAATGAGTTCTGCCCACCTAAACCATACCCTGCATTACCGCGTATCGACATTGTCGCAATTTTGCTGAACTTGCACCAAATCAAAAAGAGTAAAAGAAGTCGAACCGAGTTGTAGTCAATTAACACCAAATAGTGTCTTGTACCTGCGAAGGGTGGACTGGTATTATTTCAAAGGGGTGGAGGTATGAAGAAGAGGAATGAATGAACCTTTTGAGGTTCAAGGTCTTTCTAATAAGATTCTCGGTAGAACAACCTAAAGGACAGATTGAATAATGATCCGAGGAACCTAACGAACCTAACGAGTTACCCCATTTGGTCCTGCTGCTATTTGCGGAATGGAATACAATCAATCTATCAATTATTTGTTAGGTGAATGATGAAATTAACAAAGCTCTTTGTACTCGTATTCATATTGAAAATCAATTATCATATTCACAATAGAAGAAGTATTTATAACATCATCACATCATCATCATTTATGGTTAAAATCAAAGTCAGAGAAAGATAAATCTCAAAAGCTTAATATTCTCCGTACTCATTCTTAAGGTTCCACTGTAGGATTTACCCATCACACATGATATTTATAGCTGTGCTAGTGAGCTGATGTCTCTCGTCAATCTCCATCTCGCGATTCAGGGGGAATTTTTGGACGATCTTCAGTGTCCTGATGTGTAACTCCCAATTCAGATAGCTTGATGCCGCCTTACCGGATTCTAAACGATATCCCGCTATAACGCCTTAAATCATAATGGTAACACATAAATACGATCCGAAGAGTTATTGTTTTTTAATAAGCGAAATCCTTAATGGAAAGCACTCAGATCCAACGGAACACTACTTCCACGACCAGCCCGGTATTTTTTGGGCCCACCAATAAAATCTCGAGGTTTTGGAAATACCGATTCATCTGTGAATTTCCATCGTGGATCATTGATTATGATTCTTCTGCTAGAACTAGAGGCTTGCGGTAAACTGCCATTTGATGAGAGGGTGTAAGAACTAGAATCCATTGTGTGAGTTCTTCCTTGTTGTTGACTTTGACTTCTTGATATTGGTGCCGCTGGGGGTGGAGCGGGCGGAGATGGTGTTCTGTGTGACGATATAGAGGGAGGCCCATTAGATGGAGGAGGCGGCGGTGGTGGGGGAGGTGCACTCATTGGTGATGCTTGGCCAGCTGCACGAATTGCTGCTTGCGCAGCAAGACTGTGGTTACCTCCGTTAGTCGAAGGTGGAGATGTTGGTGGTGGTGGAGGAGGTGGAGGAGGTGCATGTGATCGAGGTGGGTTACTGGGAGGACGTGGAGCTGGGGAAGGTGGTGGCGGAGGTGCAACAGGTGGCGGCGGTGCTGAAGAAGGAGGTGGAGGAGCGAATGCTGGAGGCGGTGGCGGCGGGCCTGATAGCGCTGATGATGGCTTTCGAGTCCCAGGGGGTGGAGGAGGTTTTTTGCCAATAGGGGGTGGTGGCCCTTTGAGAGAGGCTGAGGATGCAGGACGAGAAATAGATGGCCCGCCGGTCTTTCTCAGATTCGCAACTGAGGGCGCAAATGCAGGAGTACTAGCGCTGGGCTGAGGAGGAGGAGGCCTGATTGATGGTAAAGGCGGAGCTGCGTTTGTTGGAGGTCTGGGAGCAGCCATACCTGGCGGTCTGGGAGCAGAGAATTCTGGTTCTGATGCAGTCGATGAGTCGCGGTTTGCTGTAAAAAAAAATTAGATACATCTCAATTATATGGAACGTAAAACCTTACCGCCAGTATCCACTCCTCCACCTCGTTTCTTCAACTTGGGCATGCCACCTGCGAATATTCCTCCAAGCTGTGGAGCTTGTTCCATCCCCGAGACCGCATTATTGCTCCCTTGGTTACTATCACTTCGAGCTCTATTTCCTCCCGGTACTGGCGGTGCGCCAAATCCACTGGGAGGTTTTGCCATTCCCGGTACTGGTGGAGCACCTCCTATTGGCGCCGGTCCAGAACCATTGGATACTTTGCCTACTATCGGTGCCGATCGATCGTTAGTGACAGCTTTCTTAAGTGCTCTTCCCTTCGTGATATCCGACAAGAGTGCGCCCTGTGTTCTGATTAGCAACGCCAACTTGACAAGCTCAAAGTAAATGTACAGCTGGGAATTTTTACTCTATTGGCAGCAACTTTCGCAGGTGGTCTGGACGGCATAGCTCCTGGGGCTCCTCCCGGCGGCGGCGGTGGAGGGGGACCCCCAAATCCTCCAGGAGGAGGAGGAGGAGGAGGTGGTGGTGGTGGTGGAGGCATGATTTCGTGAATAACAGTTGTTTAATCTTGAGATTGAACAACGTTTAATGCAATCTCAAAGGGTTCCTTTGGCCGAAAGACTTGGTGTTGTGTTTCATTCAAGCTTGTATTTCAAGAATATGTGCTCAAAAGGAATGAAATAATTGTACGTTTCAATGCTTCAAAGAAGATGCCTAAATAGACTAGGAAAGTTATGTCGGATTCATACATTGTGTTCGTCGTCACGATTGTGGCTCATGCATCGAGTTCAGCCTTCTTTATTAGTCAGCCATGTCATGTACAGGGGTGTCGAGCAGGGATGTGACATTTTGATAGGATGCGGGCTTAACGGTCTTGACTACAACTTATCGAAAAACCTCAAATTAAAGATACCGGAAACTTGATATCACCCTACGCAATGTCAAAACGCCTTTTCAAGCCTCGTTCGGACGTATGTCGTATATGCGACTTCATCACTTCCCAGCAATCATCTCTAAGACCACAGCGTCAATTTTCGCAAGCAATAAGCACTACTCCTCGCACATTTACCACCACTACCAGGAAGCGATCAAGCAAGCCTCCAAAGTCGACCCCTTTCAATACTTTGCGTCAATATTCAAGTCCAGCTCATGTAAGACCATCCCGGCATATCACGGAAGCAGAACTCGAGCAAGGATTAAGGCGTGGAATCGATGCATGTAATAAATTGTTTTCGGAAACTGTAGCTTCGGAAAAGGCCATTCTGGACGTTTTACATACATGCCGATTGATCGCTGCGGACGTTGCTGGAGAGCCTGCTAAATCATCAGACACAAAGAAGGATGTGACTGCTGCCGCGTCTTTACTTTCCTTGGCTGATCGAGGATCGAAGAAGCTGCGAGTCCAAAAGCTATCCCGCGAGAATCAACTTCTAGTGGATGAGCTCTCGCGAGCCCTATTTTCGATTGTTTCCCATGAGTCTGTCTTCATATCACCAGAAATTTTAGAAGTATATATCAGCGCACAATCATGTCTAGGAAAACCCGAGACTTTTCCAGAAGCATTTTACATGTATGCGAACAAGCCGATACCAATCGAGGGCTCTAAAGGAAAAAAGTTCAAAAAACAGAATCCAAATAAGGTCAACAATGCCATACCAGTTTCTGTGGCAGATCAAGCTTTACAAACCGCAATAGATGCCAGGGAATTAGATGTAGCTATGGATATCGTTGATACAGCATATGCGCAAAAATCATTTCGTCGTGCTAAATTTATCCGGAAAGGATTGTTACCCACAACCGGGCTTGCTGTGGCACCTTTTGGAGCGTATATTGTTGCATCACAACTTGCTATGTTCCAGGACTCCATGGAACCCGGCTTGGCCACAAACATCGCATTTGCTGGAATATTAGCATATATGGGGTTTACCACCACTATCGGTATTGTAGCTGTGACAACCGCCAATGATCAAATGGATCGCGTGACTTGGGCCCCAGGTATGCCACTGAGAGAGCGCTGGATCCGTGAAGAAGAACGGGCAGCGATAGATAAAGTCGCGGGATCATGGGGTTTTCATGAAGAATGGCGGCGTGGCGAAGAAGAGGGCAAAGATTGGGATCGATTGAGATTGTGGATCGGCAATAAGGGAATGCTGCTAGATGCAGTAGAACTTATGGAAGGTATGGAGTAGTTGAGCTTTAGGGAGGTATGAATAAATAGCCTTTTAGCTTGAAGTCTGTTGCTTTGATTTCGCTAGCGCGGATATCGCTTTTGATCATGATTTTGTAAGTTATCAAACTTTATGGCTTCCATTCGGTAAAGGTTTCATACACGTTATTCTTTTCGGAATTCTCACTTCGATTCAAATGATTTTGCGAGCGCACAACTCAAGCCAAAGCGGTACATGAGTACGACAAATTCAAGATGTACTCAATTAGATCCCTTACTCGCTACTTGTTCTCGAGCAAAAAGGTATAGACTATTTCCACTAGTCTCACTAGTTTCACAAGCGCAGAGACGGCTTCATTGATAGTGAAATCTGGGGTAGTCTAAAAGCTCCGAAGTTCCCCCACTACAAAATATGACGTTTACTGGATGAGATGTAAAATTGTTCAATCCGTGTCATTTTCGAATGGAGTTTTGGAAAAAATTACTTTTATTACGAACGACACATCAAATTTGATTTCTTCATTGCCAAACTTATTCTCAATAATCAACATGCCATCTGACATGACATATCCAATGCAATCAGAGATATGTCTTAAGCATGGCCATTTCATGCACAACCTAAATACGAGCGCAGTAAAGAGTATCTTCTGGTTCTCTTCCTAATTGTTCTCATCATTTTAACCATTGCAACGAGTGCCTTTACTAAAAGTGCCCATGTAGCCACGTGTGTTTGTCGCCTTGACACCCCCCCCCCCCTTCATCTGCTATAAGTCCACACTGCCGGACAATTAACACGGGTACCCAGACACATCTAAAACGCAGAATTGCATCCGACAATTTCTAGAGATCTCTGCCCAAGACTGCTCTCCATCAGTAAAGAGAAGCATCGTCGCACTCAAATTCGATGCATCTGTGTCTCTTCTCTGTCTCGCTGTCGCAATCACCTGCACAGTCTTCGAAGCTTTCGCCGCATCCACTCTTATTTTCTGCCATCAATTAGATATGGTCTTCCTATATTGGTCATTCTGGACTTTGCTTCAAGTTGGTAGTACTATTGCAATTTTCGGTATTGGATTGGCAAAGTTGTGGTTGTATATGGGGAGGGAGTCGCTTCCAGTCAGTATGTAATACAAGCTGCCCCTCGACTATTTTCAATATCTCATCTTGTTCAAATGTCTCATCTGGTTTAGAAAACCAAGCTACTTCGAACCCTGACTACTGGTATCTACGCAATAGTGTGGCAATTGGAACACCGGTTTTGATCATAGCCTGGTTAGGTGTGGCACTTGAATATCTATGTAAGGGATGGTTAAGCGAGGAGGCATTGAAGAGCTTTGAAACTTTTGTCGATGTTTTATTAATGGATTCGCCTCGGTAATTTCTTTTCAACCTGTCAAACTTTCAATGTACCCAACAGTTTGCACTATAGCCCGACAATCAGGGGCGTTAATTTTTCAACAAATTTGAAACGTTTAAATGGTTTGAAAGGGTGTATTTCAAGACTATTTTATACTCTATTTCAAAATACCTAAGGATTTACAAACCAAAAGCTAACACCCACCAGCCAAAGTGAACCCAACGCTGAAGCCGAAAACCAAGCCAGCACGTCTTCCGTCCCAACTGCCGAACTCTTAGGGTTTACGCTCGATAATCGTTCCATCATCGCGTTCCACAGATTATCTGGCGCACCTCATCCCATGGCTCGTCACTTGAGTACTACTGATGACGGTCGTTCAATGTACGTATACGGGGCCATACCGACTGATCCCACTGATGCCGATATCAACAACAACTCTGTGAGACGCAGTTTGCCTATGGCTACTGGGAAGATGGAACATCTCGTTCCATAACTTTTGACTAAGTCCACGTCGAGAAGCTCCATCAACGTTGGTGGAAGTAGATAGGGGTCCGACAAACGTGTTTGAAGATGATGTGCAGGAAGAACAAGATGCAAATAGGGCTCTCAATAGTCGCGATTGCAGTCCGATAGTAAATGGCCGATAATCTCCTTCGAAACCAGCCAACCAATCCAGATGACACCTCTTCTACCCCATATCCGATGTACAAATCATAGTTCACTCTCACCATGTCACTCTCACCATATCCCACCATTACCATCCACCTCTAGAACACAGCATAGCATACCTAGGCACCTAGGTATAAACTAACATCCTTCCAAAAATCGACTTATCAGCCATTTCAACATCAACACCAATATCAACACCAACATCACCCACATTCCCCTTCCCCTCCCATACTTTCCCCATCCATTATTCAAATTAAAATCAAAAGTTAAAAATACACTCCCGGTGAGCTCAGGTATCATCACATCAGTATATATGCAAAATCCCAGCAAGCTTTCTGTACACAGAAATATCACCTGAAACATAGTGTACCTAGGCAGGCTTTTACTATGGTCTTCCCTCTCAACGGAAAGTATTCATTAACTTCTGTGATACCAGCATTCACTTCCTTAATTTATGCACTCTCATTCACTCTTGTCTTCGGCAAACCCTTTCTTCCCCCTATCTATGCCTGCTCGTTTCTTTGTATCCTAGGGTAGCGTTTCACATATTAAGCGTATAAATTAAAACCAAGCCTTCGACGGCCACTAGTCTCAAAGTACAAATATAAAGCAACGCAAATTCTGAGAGATAATTAAGCTTTTGCTCTTTTTATAAAATCTTACGCTATGCATAATAGGACGATCTATCTGATAAGGATATGCTCAACGCCATCGCATCCTCATCTCATTTCATCACACCCCATACTAAACCGCTCTACCCGCCTTCCCAACCTGTATAATTTCGCCCGTCCTCTGCTCATCACTTCTCAACACTGGCCAACTAGCACCATCAGCCTTCACCAATGTAACTTCCAACTTTGTGCCCATAATTTTGAATGATGATGCTTCTGTATCGATTGCGCCAAAGAGTGGAACCACAGTCTTATAGCGTTTGGGAACCGCGTCTGTGGTAGGAAGATCAAGAGTAAGTTCTTGAGGGGCGGAGAAGGATACGACTGCATCCTCCTTCTTAATCTTTTTGAGGAAAAATGAGGCGATGACTGAGGTTGCTGTTTGGTAAAAATCGTGTCTGTATTTTATCATCATTAATATTGTACTCACAACTTCTTCGAGAACGCCGTCTCATAACAAACAAAACTAACTCACCTAACCGTGTCCAAAATCTCCTCACCCCCCTCCTTCGCCTTCCCCTTCCCTCCACTGCCAATGAACAAATGTGAACCCTTGGTCTTACATCCTTCGATTTTCATAAACTCGTCAAACTCCAACACTCTCCTCTTACAGCAAGTATAGCCCTTGCTACCCTCGTGGAAAATAGGCACACCGGGGTGGAACACACATTTCTCCCCCTCTCTACTCTTTCCCTCATATTGCTGACCACAAGCTTTCCTCCTGCAAGTTTTACCCACTGGAATTTCTAGCGACGCATCATCATCTTCAGATTCTGGTGCTGGGGGAGGAGGGGTAGCTGTAGCTTGAGGAGCTGGAGCAATTGGAGCTCTAGCAGGTTCGGGGGGAGGAGAGGGCACTGAAGAAGCTTGTTCAGATACATCTGGAGCTGGTTTCTTCTCTACCTGAGGTGGATGATCTGTGGTGCTGTGTTTGCCGGTTGTGCAGGGTGGAATGGCGAGGAATTCGTCGAAAGTCAGGACGCGGGGTTTGCAGCATTTCCAACCTGTTTTTTGGGCACATTTTAGTTTCATATACAAGAATTTAGAGCTACATAAAGTGAATGGCATGAATCAGCATACCTTTTTGACCCTCATGGAAAACCGGTGGTCCAGGATGGTACAGACAGTCTTCCTCAGGATCAGTATAAACCTTAGTACAAGATTGATGTACACATTTTTGCGCCATCTTGTCTAACTAGCTCTTCAATAGAAATTCGGAGATAATGATGAAACCTTGAGAGAAGACTGCTGGTTCGAATATAAAACTTTGTGTATCGTGTAGAATGAAAAGTCGACATCAGATCTTCCTCCCCAACTTCTAGAATGCTCTAAGGTATTCTGCCGTAAAGTGAGTCTCACCGCCTTTCGACATCCCGGTCCGTTGGAAGTTAATCTGAACGGGGGGAGGGGAGAGCAAATCAACCCTTGCCCCGGAGCGAATCATCCTGCTTGAGCTATTATCAAACCGACTTTGAGGCTCATACTGAAAGATCTTTGAAATATAAAAAATTGGCATCCTAGATCAATATGTTTCCAACAACACGATTACTCCAAGCATGTCGAATCACGCTTTTCACAAGAGCTAATTGTTCACTCTGTACCAACGCCAAAGATACATTATTTAAAGTCCGAGATACAAGACCATTTGTGTATAGAGAGATTGCTGTTATGGAAGATGGACAAAAGCACTGGAAGGATTTATACGAATTTGATACACCTGTGGTTGGTTTACCTTGACCCAAATAAAGACAAAGTTTGCTAATATTCTGTGTTAGATTCACGTTAGTAGGGAGGATGCTGGGGAGGAACAGTCTGAATTGGCATCCAAAGCAAGAAAGCTGATGCATAGATTTACTGAGGAGGAAGTCAAAGCGAAGATGGATGAAGTGGAAGGGGAAAATTCTGTCTGATTTATGCCGAAACTGTACCTCTACAGTCTATTCTAACATCCGAAGGCGTTTTCGTACGGTCCCGAATAAGTATATGTACACCGATCATTGATCTATCTGCCGTAGGGACCAGTCAATTTGGGGCCATCTTCTTGGCCCTTTGCCTTGTTCACGGCAGCGATTACACCCTGTGGTAAAATATGCATATCTGTTGCAACACTCATCATATGGAACCCCTGATCTGCGTACCCTTTCGCTTGTTCTCCACTCGTACAAAAGATACCGGCCTTTTTTCCAGCTGTATTTGCCGCCTTCAAGATCTTTGCAATTGCAGCATGAAGATTCTCGTGCATTTGTCCTGCAATAATGGGATGGCCAATGTTGTTGCCAAGATCGAAAGGACCAATAAAAAGAACATCAATACCAGGGACAGCAGCAATGGCGTCGACATTCTCCAACGCTTCCTTGGTTTCGATTTGTACCATGGTCAGAATGCTGTCATTGGCTTGCTTCAGATATGCATCAGAGTTCAATTCGGGGTTGAAGCGCTCATGAGGAAACGGTGATCCAAAGCCTCTTTGACCTTGAGGCGGAAACTTAGCACTTTTCACGAGCTGTTCAGCTCCCTCTACTGTGTACAGGAGAGGTACAAGTACACCATGCGCACCACAGTCCAAAGCCCCTGTTGAGCTATTAATATCTACATACATGTTGCAATGAATCTTGGTGACTTACGCTTAACCATCCATCCTTGGTTATCTGGAATTCTAACTATCGGACTCACCCCGCACGCAGCAATTGCTGGAACTGCATCATGCATTGCGGCATCTGTTGGGGCGTTAGATAAGTGGCGATGAATTGTCAAATGTATAATTTGTCATCGTCTATTGATTAATTCCTGATTTCAAAAGATTGCGGTAGAAGTGCTTAGTGTATGAATGAAAGGGCCTCAACAGAAAATAGAATAGGCATTGGATAATGAATGGACATCCCAACAATCCAGACTGCAGGCCAAACCCTGGAAATTCGAACGCTTGAGATTATTTGAACGCCGGAATGTAGTTTAGTTTCCCAAATGTAACTACTGCTTCATAGAATTCCAGTGCATGCCAGACCACCAGCGAATTACCGTGGCTGTGATTGATACCACTAGGTATAGTAGAGTCATTTAAGCTCAGTGACTACGTTTATCTAATAGCTCATGAATGTCAAGAACACCAACAAGTGGCTTAACACGACACCAAAATGAAGTGACTCACCGTCTATATTCCCATGCTCGCAATCCACCAAGACCCAATCAACACCTGTCCTCGCCAAAGTTCTCGAAACGTTGGCTCCTGGAATCATCTGCCAGCAGCCCGTCGCCGGCCCCTTGCCCTCCCCCATCACCCTCCTCAAACGATTTGCTTCTTGCATGATTGTCGCCATTTTATGGTAACTGTGTCCGTTTTTGACTAGAAGGTTCTTCGTTAAGAACTTTGAAGAAGAACGAAAAGTCGAATTAGATCTCCAAACAAGGTTGTAACGAGATAGCATGAGGTATGAAGAAGTTGAGAAGTAACTTTATCTTTGTGTATGTCACTGATGTAGAATTGCGTTATCGGACATACTGACGGGATATGACTGTTGTCTACCCCACATTTTGCTGTCCTGCATAATGATCGTTCCTGCTTGAAGGATATGGGATGGAGGGGCTGATCATTTTGTAATTGATTGGACACTCATTGTCTCCTGCCTAGAAGTTACTACTATCGTAGAGCTTTCTGTGAGTTTTAGATGTTGAGAGATGATCAATTGGTACTCTGTTGGCTGTTGCATGTTGAGGAAACGACTCCCAAAGATTAGATTCGTCTCGAACATTGAGCCAACATGAAGATTAAAAAGACTCATGCAATTTGTCTACATTGCCAATGCGGTAAAACATTGGTTTTCCCCAAAATGGGAATTTGATATCCCATCTCGAGAGAGCTAAAAAACAATTACCCAAATAGAAGCTCGTGGGGAAACAAGTACCTCGGAAGGAAGGTGGGGGATTGTGGTTTAACGTAAATCATGTGAGATTACCCCCCCATGAGCTTTATTCCTTGTTTGCCGTCCCTTGAGCCGAGATGTGTCCCAAAAGATGAAAAATGAAGGTATTCTCATGGTCGTTGGCATCCTTGTGTACTAGCTCAATGCTGATCATGGCCATATATACACTAGAATATTATTAGAACGCAAGCACAGATTGTAGAACTCGGCCAAGTGTAAATGTTGCAGATGTGTTGACATCTACTCCGTACTTGTTTATGAAGCCTGCTGCCTTTACCCCTCATTATATACTTTGTAATATGGGTTCCCCCATACTTGAAACATGCATGATGATTGCCTTGAGCGTTTGTCATAGAATCATCAAAAGTCCTCGAGTGGAACATCCAAAGGAATTTCATCCTTGAGCCCGGTAGGAACACGGCTTCGACCGGATAACCGATTGCATCTTCCGGTTTCCAAGTTACAACATAATTGCTTGGATTTTAGAGAAGGTCAGCTGCTGTGATCAAAAAATGCATATAAGCAGCGGTGTGACCTTGAGAGATTAAACTCTTTCAGAATTCTCGACTCGGACTCAGCGAATCGAGGTACAAAGAGCTTATTGCTTAAAGGTCTTGATCGATTGGGGCTCCACGCTCCTTCCCACTACGATGAGCCGCTCGTAAATGCTCAGATGCCGCATTTCCATAGCGATGCTGCATTGTGACCCCCACGGGCTTTGAAGTGGACCCCCCGTGAAAAACTAATGTACGCCACAGCATGGGATTCAATACATGATGCGAGAGTCCCGATCGAAGACCCGCTACCCAGACAAGGACTAGGGATCATCAGCGTGACTTCTCAACCACAGTTTTGGGAAGAGGGTGAAATTATGGAGTTGAGTGAAAAGGAGAAAGGAATGGAATGCACAGAGTACGATCCTCCCTCCCTCCTTCTCCACAACCTTCCTGTAATAAGATATATGAGCCATTATTTATCCATGTAAAGAGTCAAGACCTGAATGGGCAGTGGGCACGAAGTTGGGCAATCATCTATTCATAGTTTGAAAAGTGTATTGTATTAGTGAGACAGACGATGGTGCAGATTGTATGCAGTAAGAAGAAATGATGTTGACGTTGGGCAAGGCCAAATCAAATTAACCTTGCAAGCAAGACAGACGAATGAAATGGCAGGAAAAAGAAAAAAAAAATCGTACCAACCTTGCTCTCGCCCTTCTCACCAACCTGATTCTACAACAAGCTCCAGGAGTTATTAGACCTTTCGACCACAGAAATGATGAAATCCTTGTGTGTTATATTAAATGTCCGAAATTGGATTGCAACGATTGAAATCAATGGATACCTAACATCATACCCCTACATCATAATTTATCCGTTCCCACCCAAAATCCAAGAGACGTCAAACACAAACGGGATCAAACGTTTGAGAAGTTGCCTTCACTTCGTAGGTACATATGTACTAGGTAGGAGGGAGGTAGGTAGTATCTGCGACGTCTAGACGGCTCGCGTGAATCTTTTCCCTTCCCCTAGACGTGCTGAGCTACGTGTTGCATCGCTGTGCTACGTATTAGACTTACAGGTCACAACTTATACTTCGTATATATCGCTATGACTATCATCTAGCATCGTCACCTGCAGTATCACTCTTAACACCTAATCGAGGATCGGAATTGAAACAATGCAATTTGACGGTACATACAGCCAGTACCTAGGCACGTACCGGTGCAGAACTTCCATTTTCGTCACCGTGCGACTTAGAAGTTAGAACATCGATCCGAATGGGTTCCACGTTTTTCTTTGAGAATTGAGATGGACACATTCTCCGCTTTTCCCTTATTTTTCCGTGTTTAAGGAGAAATTGTCAACTAATCACAGTCAGTTCAATCGAATCCATGAACTTGGATCGAATTCTTACGTCGTAAAACTCTTTTCCTTTGCCAGATACCTTTGCATGTATGTAGTATGTAGGATGTAGGATGTAGGATGTAGTGCAAGGAGGGGGGATACTACAACTACCTACGTACAGGTCAACATTCAAACGTCTACTCCCTCCGTGATCACTGATCACAGCAAGAGTGGCTGATTTTTTTTTTCTTTTTCTTTTTCTTCTTCTGCTTCTGTTTCTGCTTCTAGAATTCCAGGTACCATAACCCTGCTTGCAAGGAGATCTCGTTCAACAGGGATGGTGCAAAATCGTTTTCCCCTTCCTCTTCTTCTTCTTCTTCTTCTTACTTTAATAGCGGAGAGGGGGGGGGGAGGGGGGAGCGGTGATGAAAAGAGACTCGACTAGATCTTTAAATGGGTCACCAACCACCAGGGTCTTTCGAGGCTTGAATCGTTCTCTTTCCGTAAACCTTCCATACTTCCTTTCTGTGGGTCACATCACCGTGCCAAGGTCAAACTCCCTTGGTTAGATGTACCATTTTCTGCCGTCACCCATACAATCAATTATTACTTTTCCAGTCGACCTCGTACTCCATATTCTGTACATGTCGGTGTTTATTTCATCTTTCTTTCTCCTTACTAGGTCGACATGGCACACGACCCACCGCCACTTGCCGTCATTTGCCTAGGTCCTTCTTACTCCGGGACCTAACCATTTGCTATATACCTCACTTCCTTCCCACATCGTGAGTCTTTTGATTGATTGTCTGAAATTAACTACGTTTACTTTGTTATTCGTCATATACTGTCATCTTTCCTCACTCACGTCAAACAACTTCAAGAGCTCATCAACAAACAAAACCTTCGAGAGAGAAAAAAAGTATATTTACTCTCCGTGCATTTCATTTTATTGTTGCTATACTTCTATCAATACATGACATCACTTTTCACTTTGACATTGACTTCCTCCCATTTCATTCGGCAATTAAATTGACTTTGACTCTACCGGCCTTTCTTATATCATCTACAGAGAATACCCCGCCACGCTTGAACAAAGAACCTCCATTCACCATGTTGTCTTATGAGAATCGTTCCTCAAATATGGCTCAACCAACGCCAGCCATGCCGGATCATTTGCCCATATCAACTTCGTCGTCTGCAAATTCATTGACAAATGGCTCATCAAGACAGCCCAAGACAGGCCATTCTCACATCTGGTTGATTACCGGTCCTGCTGGATGTGGAAAAAGCACAGTGGCTCAATATGTCGCCAAAGCTATGAACTTGCCATATATTGAAGGAGATGAGGTATATACATCAATTCCATTATTTACCAAATTAAGAATGCCATTCTGACGAAAATAAAAACAGTACCACCCGCAATCAAATATTGATAAAATGGCCCAAGGCATACCCCTCAATGATGCCGACCGTTGGGACTGGCTCACCAAACTCCGCGACGAATCTGTTAAAAGTCTCAACTCCGGCTCCCAAGGCGTTGTACTCACCTGCTCTGCCCTGAAGCGCAAATATCGCGACGTCATCCGTGTAGCTTCCTACTACGATCACAATGTCCTCGTTCACTTTGTATACCTGCATGCTAGTGAGGAAACATTGCTCGCGAGAGTCGGCGCCCGAAAGGGCCATTTTATGGGCGCGAATATGGTTCATAGTCAATTTGGCATTCTCGAACCACCTACAAAAGACGAGACAGATGTGATCCAGGTAGATGTTAGTGGATCGTTAGAAGAAGTCGAGCGAGATGCGTTGGCGAAGATAAACACGGCAATAAAGAAAGAATTGGCTAGAGACTCATGATCTTCATACTTTTACACCATTGCACTGTAGAAGATACTCGCAGTGGAGAGATAGAGAGCTCATTTTCTTTTCAAATTACAACACGGCGCTCGGTGACCAATTGGCGGACTAGATATCCTTCATCATTCATCTACGGTTTGAGCAATCACGGATATTTTCTCGGCTACACGATTCGGAGTTGCTTATGGTATTTGTTTCTTATTTCATGTGTCTACATTTACATTTCGCATACGGATCTCGGTGGGGCTAGCAAAAAAGGGTTTGGCGTATTTTCTTCTAGCTGTAGCTAGATATGGGTTCTATTATGTTCAAACGCATGAGTTTCTTTAATGGGTGGGGTTTCGTGTCATGACCAGTCGCAAGATGAGAAGACGAGAGAGAACAGTCCGTAAACAAACGAAGCGAAATTGGAAGGAGGTGAAGGAACTAGATGGTTGGACAAGTACGCAATTAGATTAATTAAGAGTATCACGCATCAAAATTCCTCATGCAGCCATCTATAAATGGTTGGGTTCGTTCCTCTTTTTTCTGTTGATGCACACCGTCGGGAGAATCTTCACACACCACCCCCCTGATCTGCCAATTATCCTCATGCGAATGCGGGGTAGCGACCAACCCCGGAAAATCAGTCTTTATGTACCCCAGTCGGACAACGCACTGTGTCGCACGACAAGGCTGAATGAATCGTGCATGCATGATGGTATTGTAAGGGGTTTTAGGAGATACATGATACTACTTGTTGTATATCTTGCCAATAAATGACAATCTCTCATTTTATGTATGTATGTATGCAGGCAGGCATGTTTGCTTGTATTGTTTCTGTATGCTACGCTAATGCTTCGCAATCTTCGCAAGCTTCGCAAGTGCAAAACTTATCACCTATTCCAAAGAAAACCGAAAGCTGAGCCCGAACCCCCTCTTTAAACACCGAATGCAACGCAGTCATTTGTAACAAGTTAGTTACTTTTCGAGGCGGTTGCCTAATTCATCAACGTGGAAGCATACTTCGTGACTCTGATTACCCAATTGGAAGCAGGAGACAAAAATAAATCCTTATGTCCGTGGGGTATGGTATCACGGTCTTTGCGTATGTTGTGTTTCTGTCAACTATCATAAGGTGATGCAGAATGCAGTGCAGAAGGAGATCTTGTGAGCTGAAGCGAAGAACGATCTCGTGGTCTTGGATTCCTCAGCCACTTTTACTCCGCCTATATATATGTAAGACGTGAACGATGAGATGATGTCATGTGCGTTGGATGCACAATAATGCATCATTTCATATGTAGAAGCATGGTTTCTGGATCTTCGATATATCCTCTGACCATTTCAGCTGCGCGGGCCATGGTTGCACCGTCTATTACGCGGTGGTCGGCGCTCCAACTGAAGTTGATGACTTGTTTTGGAACAACATTTCCGTGAGCATCGAACGCGGGAATAGTGCGTAGTTTGCCAATGCCGAGGATGGCGAGCTGGGAATCGACGATGATAGGAGAAAGGTAGGTACCGCCGATGTTGCCGATATTGGAGATGGTTATAGTACCACCGGAGAGGTGAGAGGAGGTAAGGGTGGAGCTTGAGGCAAGGGATTGAAGATTGGTGAGAGATTGAGTTATGGTGAGGAGGGTAGACGTGGATTGGGCGTGTTTTAGGACAGGAACGAGGAGACCTGTGGGAGTATCCATTGCGATGCCGATATCGTGTTGAGGACGCATTGTTAAGATGGGCTTCTGCGAAGTAGGATCAATGTCGAGCCGAGCATTCAGAATGGGGTAATGATTGAGAGTTAGAGAGACAGCTTTGATGATGAAGGGGAGGTAGGATAGCTTGGCAACCCCGTTGATGGGAGAGCTTGCCAGTTGTTTATTAATACGATCTCGTACTTGGGAGAGTTTCGTAAAGTCAATTTCATCGGTGTAGAGGAACTGAGGTATGGCCAAAGACTTCGTCATGACTTTGAACATTTGCTGTTGAACAGGCGTTAATGAAGTGGTATACTCCTTTTGAGGACCCCCATTTGCCTCTACGAAGGGTTCCTGGATTTTTGACGGGGCCCCATCTCTTTGCTTTGCAAACTGATGTACGTCTTCCTTGAGTACGCGGCCGTCTTTCCCCGTACCTGTCACATCTAATATATTGACGTCTAGCTCTTTTGTAAGATGCCTTACTGCTGGTGTTGCCAATGACGCATGCTTTCCTCTTGGAGTTGATGAAGAGGATCGAGTCTCGGCAGCTGGCTGAGAGGCACCTGGAACATCCACTTTGTATTCCATTGGTGACTTGTCCACGGATTGGCCTTTAGAGTCATTACCAGCACTTGACCCTTCAATGGCATCCGCACTCTCTTGTTCGATCTCCCCTTGTATATCAATATCCAGGAGAGCTTTCCCCACTTGTGCCATATCCCCAGCTTCATAATGGAGTTTCTTTATGACGCCCGAAAATCGACTGGTAATCTCGACCGACGCTTTGTCACTTTGCACTTCACACAATTTGTCCCATTCCTCCACCCGAGCTTCTGGTTCCACGAACCATTGTATGATTTCGCATTCTTTAATTCCTGAAACATATCTTAGTATGAAGTCTTCATCTAGGTACACTGATCTTCTAACCTTCTCCAATATCTGCCAACATAAAAGGTTTTATGGCTGATCGCTTCGCAGATGCATGGAAGTATTTGTATGTGGTTGGGCATCGTTTGGGGAGATTGAGACCTTGATAGACGTTCCATTGCCTACTCAACACTCTGGAATAGAAGTTATAACGCATCTTGTACAATCTTAAATCAGGAGCTCATACAATTTTCGATAGGGATGGAAAGAAAAAGGTTGTAATATTTTCGTATTCTTTGGAATAGAAAGTTACATTCATGATCTTTGCGGAGGTAACAATCTGGGGATTTCGGTTATCGGCGGCTTATCAGCGTTCGGGAAACTCTGGGGAAAAAAATTAATTCTGGGGTAAAGAGAATCTTTCAGGCGCGCATGCTGAATTGCTAGCGGGGCTTCTAGGTTTCCTGCACGACTTCCCTTATCATAACGAATATGATCCTTACACGATTGCCAATACGATCCGCAAGGAAGCAATTAGATGCTTCAGCATGTATGCTATGCCAATGGCGTTCATTCACTACTACATATCGACGATGGGACGAAAAGAAAGAGACGCCATCACCGGTGCCAGAAACTCCTTCAGTTCTAGATGAAGCCCCAAGAGCTTCGGGCAAGAGGGTGGAAAATTTTACGCCCAAGCCTTTGGATCGAGCAATTGGACTTCCGCAACCACCAAGAGCAGGTCAGAATAGTGGAGTGGATAATAGGTCATTGAAAGAAAAAAGAGATGACTTCGTCAATTGGGAGAAGCATCTTGAAAAGCGCAAGAGATTGTGAGCCTTGCTTGTATAAAATTATGTGTGCAGGTCACTAATATCAAGGATCTAGGACCGCGGGCAATGGCCAAACCATATTACAGAGAATGGAGCAATATGAAATATCACAAGGGAAAATCCTTCCTGGCACCTCCCCGAATCTTCAAAGCCGATCGCGCGCTCTATTTCCCCAATTTAAGCGGCCGAACTTTAGAACCAGACTCTACCCTATATGAAAATACAACACCCATACTAGAGGGCAAGGTCTCAGTTGTGTCCGTATTCAGTGGTGCATGGGCAGAAAACCAGGCGGCTACATTTGCATCCGAGAAGAGTAACCCAGGTTTACATGAGGTGGTCAGAAACAACAAGGAATTGGCGCAAATGGTACATATCAACTTCGAAGAGAACTACCTGAAAGCTATGATCATCAAGTTCTTTCGGTCGAGTTTAAGGAAAAGGCTGCCAAAATGGATGTGGAAGAGATATTTTGTGGTCCAGAAGGGTCTTACGGATGAGATGAAAGATGCTATAGGCCTATTAAATAGTAAGGTCGGGTATACATACATTCTAGATGGGGATTGTAAGATTAGGTGGGCGGGCAGTGGTAATGCTGAAGAATATGAGAAGGATGTCTTGGTCAAGAATGTTTCCCGACTCTTGGAGGATGCTAAAGCACCCCTCGCGCAAAAGAGACTGGAAAATGGTGCACAGCAATCAGGGGACGCTGCCGCAAAGAAGGAGAGCATAGAAGATGCAGCAAAAGCTGAACGTCGAGCATGATATCCCTGAATATACCCATAAGCCGTTCTTATACTGTACAACAATTTGGTCATATCCCAGACCGTTCCACTCCAAACGCCTTGCCTGTGTTCTCATTACCATAACATGCATCGTGCTATCCTATCGTCACATAAAGTACAAGAACACCAAGAAGCAAAATGCGATAAAGCTGCCCATAATAATTCCATCTCTCCTCGTCTTCGCGCTAATCCTCCCAATCAAACTATTCAATCCCGGTACCTGACTTGCAGCCCCAGTGATCCTCCGATTAATACTGGCCAGCGTTTCTCTCTGTAGCCCAAAACTCTCATTAACAGCATAAGCTTGGCTCAGCACACTGTCCGTCATGTTATGACTATTCTCAATACGACTCCTTTCTCCCAACATATAGTCCGCCTCTGCGGCTTCTGGATTATTGCTATGATAAGCGTCGATATCAGAGCGCACATTTGAGAGTAGGTTTGCGCGATTGCGAGCTTCAGAAATGGAAGAACGAATGCGGGAAAGTTCGCGACGGTGGTCGAGGAGAATCTCTCGGTGACGGGTAAGATTATTTTGACGGGTTGCAGAGGCCGTGAGGGAAGAGTCGCTGTCGAGGAGACGGGAGAGTTGCGATATCAGATTTTCTCTCTAAAACGTAAGTGTGAGACTAAGTTCTTGAGCTTGCAGTGAGGATCTGTTCACCTTTTCTAGAATTTCTTGTAGCTTCATTTCAGTGGATCTTTCATCTTCTGAAGGTTTTGGCGGAATATTGGAAACGGCTGAGAATTGTGAGTAGGTATGGAATAGTGTTTCTGTCTGCCCGGGTTGTTAGTTTCGTGGGCGATAGCTATTGCGAGGTATATATAATTTACTTGTGTTTCCAACGACCGAGCTTGTTGACGAAGCTGTGCCCAACCTGTCCCAGTAGATGTAGACATCGTTCCTAAGTTGAAAGATAAATTGGGGTGTATGTTTGGTTTGCAATGATTTACCGCATTTGCTGTCGGCGCATTATTATTATTTTGTGATGCTGGGTTACGTCGCTGGAGCCGGATAATAGGCGGCCCGCCCCTTCTTTGTCGCATCATCAAGTGGACCAATCATTTTGCTTGCTCATCAGAACGTACTATTCCATATCAACATCACTGAATCAAATCCACGGAAGTCTCTAAATATTACTCAAACATTAATTACAAGTTGACATCACCTAAATTATAGTACTTTAGGATAATACCCAGAAAGTATAATTTGGTGTCCCTGTTTTATCGTCCTGCTAGATGGATCTTAGGATATCTGCTGTAGTTTATTCATTCTTGACTTTGTATATAAGCAAGCGAAGCATCGTGGATAGTATTAGTCTACCTAGGTAAGCTTGTTGTAACGACAATTAAACTGTGCGAGGAGACGGTCACGAATTTTTTGAATAATATTTATCATTTTCTGCATAATGCTAGAGCGCATTTACATGTGAAACATCAAGTTTAAAAACCTGGGCACTATTCTTAAAAAAAAAATTTAAAAAAAACAGGAACGCCAGCCCAAAACATAACCATGCAGAACCATGCCATCAATCTTTGAGATATCTCGCAAAAATAAGAAGCTTTCATATGCAATCGTCAAGCACATCATGAACCCTTCTATCAAATCGCTTTCCTAAACGCCTGTATGCTTGTAGTGACCTGCAGCGATCTTATTAACCGGCAGCTTGAAGAAGTCTCTCTCCAGCCTTAAGATTTGCACAAGCGTAAGCCTTAGACTCAGGTGGAAATGTTCCATTGGCAGCCCAGAGGTCAATCAATGGTTGCATGGGCTCCAATTCATGTGGCTTTAACATGTCAATCTCGGTTGCTGTCAAAACAAAGTGACTAAAGCAACTATTCATGTGCTTGTCGAGGTTGAGATGGTAGAAAGGCTCAATGAAGTGTCCCCAGTAGAGATGAGCATAGACTCGGAACATTTGTCTAAAGATGGTTTGGCATACATCAACAAATTCTTGTGGAAATCCACTGCTCTTGCCGATCCAATCACCAGCTCCGGCGAGTTGAGAGAGAGAGGTTGTGAGTGTGGTTGGGCCAGCGGGAATGGGTGTGTTTGAACCAGGTGTGTTGACTCCACCAGAAGCATAAGTCGAGCCAGCAATTTCAGGACCGGCACTGTTGTGACAGTATGAGATTCCGGCAGGATCAGTGGGGAAAATTGCGGTATTATCGATCTTTCCAGAGATCCAGCGCTGCATGAGGGAGATGTACTCGTGGGCCGGTACTTCGACAGGCTCTCTACGTGAGTTCAACCATGTGAAAGAGTGGTTTCTAGTAAAGCTTATCAGATATCAAGTCGGTAGGTCTTAGAAATGCAGGCTTACGCGCCAGCAGACATGCGGGGGCAAGTCTGGGGGTTACAAATGGTGTTACCATCTTCTTCTTTTTCATGAATTACCCGAACAAAGTTCCACAAGATACGATAATGTTCAACCACTACGATTGTTAGCACATGACTGTTAGCACCTCCTCATTCTCTTACCTTGATGGGCAATCCACTCTCCAGGCTCAACTGTCTTTGGGCGAGCAGACAATGTCATAAAATTACCCTTAACAATGTGCTTAGCATAAGCATTATTAAGCCAGAGTGGCTTCGGGCGAGGAAGGTTGTAGGCGGCTAGTGGATCATTGCCTGCAGGGGGGGCTTGCTGATCATCCATAGACACTGTTTGTGAGAGCGAAGGCGAGTTGGGGAGTGGCGAGATGCGGGGTGCCATGTTGGCGGGTGACGAAGAATTGACGGGGGAATTGCCTGTAGGAGAGGTTGGCGAAACTCCGTTAAGTCCACCCGGACTCTTTGCGCCAGAACTCTTACCACTACCACGAAAGCGGCCACTTCTACAAACACAATATTGTTAGCAGTTTCCCTTGTCAAGTTGACCAGAAGCAAAAGATAGAATATTACACAAGCTTGGGGAATGGCGAAATTGAGTGGAAAGTTTTAGGAAGACTCAAAATAACAAATACGAAGGGCTCAATGCATCAACGACAAATCTGGAGAGCAGATATGCCTTTAGTCAAATCAACACATATTATAGGTATCATTTTTGGAAGAAAATATGATCGCCTTGCTGATGGAAAGCCACCCCTTAACCAGACTTATAAGATTGACAGATGAGATTGCTCCTAAGGCTTCTCGTCTGATAACATGACTCAAGCAACTTGCTTCCTGATAGGTCGATTGGGCCGAGATATAAGCTTTCTGGGCGGTGACAATGAGCCAACTTCTCATATCACTGCACCCCAAATTAAATGCCCTCCATTAATCGAACATTTCCCCCGTCCATGTTTTACCACTGGTGAATCCAAGTGGCAAAATAATCAAGTATCACCACAGGAGCTCCAAATATCAAAAGGCAACCAGAACGACAAGTAAGGAAATCCGACCACGTACATTCCTGAAAACAAGTTTGACATATTGCTGAATCTTTCAAGTCAGACAATTTATCGAATCTCAAAAATTACCAAGATAACTCAGTAAAGTCGACTTTCAAAACAAAAAGTGGTTGAGTCGAGAGGTAGTTGAAAGATTGTGGTTTGTATTTGATATCAAGTAGGAATAGGAGACAAACAGAAAAGCTTAGGAAGTCTTGAATAGATTAGCGTCGGCTTGTTCCTTAATGTTCTTCCGTCCACTCTATCCAAAACTTCCTTGATCATTGGTTAACAATCCGAGAAGGCGGTGTATCACTTCTTGCTGCCCTTGCATTATTTTGCTTGCTGCTTTGTATCCTCCACTTGTATCAGACGTTTGGTGTGTCTTCATTCACCAATTGATTGTCTAGTACGGCTAAAAGAGGTGTTGTATTGAAGACGATTCACTGAGCACGTACAAATTACAGGCACTTCTTACGTCGATTCAAATTGATTCGATTTTACTCGCAATATATCGCTTTCAACGATACCTATCAAAGCTTCTCTTCTTAGCATCTAGCCTTACGCGAAGTTCACGAAGTACGATACGACGGAATTTCGCGATTTACCTTTTGGACATTTTTTACCTTACAACCATAAATACACACACCACTTGAAATGGCATCCAATTCAGAAGATGAAGTTATGAACAATATCTCCGATGTCGATGAGGAGGATGATCTGTTTGGAGATGTTCCTGATGAGGAGCCAGAGACCGCACCACCACCACCCAGGGTGTTGAGTGACGCAGAATTGGATTCGGGAGACGATGAGGGGCGCGATGATAGAGTACCTAACAGGGACGATGAAGAAGAATTACCGGCGGAAGATACTCGAAATGCGCGAATTCTCGAGGCTGACATATTCAGACATCCAGTTCCGAGACCTTCAGATGGAGAAGTAAATGCGCCTCATTCCAATCATCTTTTGTGCACATAGCTAATAATTTCACAGTTCCATACATTTCGCCTTCCAAAATTCTTTGGAATTGAGCCTCGAGAATATAATCCTGAGACTTTTGAAATCCCCGTCTCCGATCACCATGCCTCTACCCAATCCGCAAATTTCTCGGCCAGGAATGTTGCCGAATCAACGATCCGCTATCGCAAGTCAGACTCTGGCAAACTCGAAAGTAATACGAACATATACACATGGAGCGATGGAAGTACCACTCTAGCTATTGGCGACCAGCATTATGAATTACAGAGCAAGCCTCTTGCGCCCGCTAAGGATAGCAAATACAACGAAGTCTTGGACTCACATAGTTACATGGCTTCACCTTCAGTTACATCACAAATTCTTGTTGTCGTAGGACACATGACCAACGAGTACACAGTCAGGCCCAACAAGTCTATTGAAGATGATGCTCTGAACAGGTTGAAAAAGAATCTTACTGCAGCTACTGGTCTAGAAGGAGGTGAAAAGAAACGTCTAAATATGATCGTCAAAAATGAAGATCCTGAACTTCAAAAGAAGCGAGCAGAAATGGCAGAAAAGGAACGAATGCGTGCTCAACGTCGTCGTGAGGCTCAGCTTGATAGAGCCAGTCAATCGACTGGACGTCGTGTGGGTGTGGGTGCAGGTCTTACTCTCGATGATATAGATGGTCGCCCTGGACGTCGTGGACCACGTAAACCTGCTGGAGCTAAGCGTCCTCGCCGTAGACCAGAGTATGATTCGGACGACGACCTTCCTCGTGGTAGAAATCGTGAAGACGAGTACGACAAAGAGGATGACTTTTTGGCATCTAGCGATGAGGAACTTGAGGAAGGTGGTGGAGACGACGATGAGGAAGAAGAAATCCTTGATGAGAGTGATGAAGCTCCTAGGCACAAGAAACAGAAGACGTCAAAACCTGCCGAAGATAGCGATGCTGACGCAGATGCCGAAGCTGATCTGGATGACGAGGATGTCGTTCAAGCTCCACATGCAGAAGCTGGTGGAAACAGGAGAAAGCGTAACATTATTGAGGATGACGATGATGAATGAGCTCAACTTTAGAAGTTTAATAGTGGCCATAGATATTGCGTTCATATACCAGGCATTTCGAAAGGCATTTCCTGTGCTTCTCATACCATACCCGGCGTTTTCTAACAGATTGTACAATAGCTAACTAAGCGTTTACTACACATGCATTTTAAGATATGTGTATGTTTCCAAAAGATTATCGAATTAGCAAGGGCTGCACTACATGCAATAGCATTGTGACCGAAAGATTCATTTAACACGAATATTTTATCCGTATGTGAAAGCTGTTGATACCTACCTACCTAGTAATGCATATGGTGTTGTTGCATAAAGAAGATAGGCCAAAGCTTTATCCTTGACAATCTGGGGAAATCATCACATGCTAATCCTCATTCTTATTAGAACCCTTCTTTCGTAAATAAATAAACTGTCAACCTTGTATAATCAAACATGTAGTTCAGGTCCGAGGGACTTTTGTTATTCTCAAAATGACTGGAATTTTATCAGGAATATGGAGTATGCTCTTAGAGGTCATGTACTTCTGGCAAAGAGTAAGGAGATTGATAGCTTGTTATGAAGTATCGTAAACGGAGCAACGCTAACAATGGCACAAATAGAGGTTCATTCAATGGATGACTCGAAAGAAACCAGTACGACTTTGGTCAGATCTTTTAAAAGATGCTCATACATATGAGGAATGGGAAGAAGCTGCTTTTCAGTTAGATGTTTTGTTGGGAAATGATTTATGGTCTGTTTACACCAAAACCCTCTTTATATGCGGTGAACAATAGCTAACAGGATTGCAATCAGGCGCCAGAATCCTACATCCAAGTACTACGATTATCGATTGATACACGAGCGATTGCAATCAATCATAATAGCCCGCGAAGAAGGAGATATTCTACAACTGGTCAATCTGCTGAGATCTGGTCTTGTACGTAACCTGGGGAATATATCCGCTCCTCGGCTTTTCAATCGCGCATTTGCAGGGACGAAACTCTTAATCGAAGATTATATTACACAAGTCGCGCAAGCGGTAGCGGATGTGACTCAATTGCCTACGACACCCGGCGCTGATGGGAATAATGGAGCGGTGATGGGCTTTAGCAGTCAGGCGAAGTTGGATCTTTTGCATGACACTCGGCAGGCTTTTGGAAGAAGCACATTGGTATTACAGGGCGGGGCAATATTTGGACTATGTCATTTGGGAGTTGTGAAAGCGTTGTTTAATAGGGGTTTATTACCCAGAATTGTAACGGGTACAGCAACGGGAGCGCTCATCGCCGCATTGGTGGGAATTCACACGGAAGATGAGCTGCCAAAATTTTTGAATGGGGAGAGTATTGATCTGTCAGCTTTTGCGGGGAAAGAAAGAGGACTCCAAGGTACGAGTGGGTGGTGGGATACATTGACGAGGAGAGTAAAAAGATTTTATAGGGAGGGGTACTTTTTGGATGTGAAAGTACTAGAGGAATGTGTGCGGGCAAATGTAGGTGATTTGACATTTGAAGAGGCATATAATAAGACTAAGAGAGTCTTGAACATTACGGTGGCTACGAGTGGAAAGGGGGGGGTACCAAATCTACTTAACTATCTCACAGCACCCAATGTTGTGCGTATACTCTCTTCATTCTCATAATCAAATGCACTGCTAACCTAAGTAGTTGATATGGTCTGCAGCCCTAGCATCTAATGCTTCAACTCCCTCTCTTTATGGATCCTCTGTAACCCTGAAATGCAAAGATCCTCTGACCGGCACCATAATTCCCTGGTCCGCTGCCGCAGATGCTACATTCCACCCCTGGACTCACGCTTCATATACTGACCGCGACTCGCCCCTCTCTCGCATCGCCGAGCTCTTCAACGTAAACCACTTCATCGTCTCTCAGGCCCGTCCCTATCTTGTCCCGTTTCTACAATCTGACATGCACGGCCCCTCTCGCCTCTACACTCGCGGCGGACGCACCTCTTTAACTGGTGGCCTATTACGTCTCATAACCATGGAAATTCATCATCGACTACAACAACTCGATTCCTTGCAGCTTCTCCCTCTTTCTATTCGCAGGTTTCTGGTAGATGAACATATACCTGCCGCATCCGTAACACTTGTTCCAGTTCTGTCCGCAGGTGATTTCATCCGCCTTCTCGAGACGCCTACTCAGGACAGTCTAGACTATTGGACATTGAGAGGAGAAAAAAGTGTATGGCCAGCTGTCGGAGCACTTAAAGTTAGATGTGCTGTGGAGACAGAGCTAGATAGAGGATATCAGATTGTGAGAAGGAGAAAGGCGGGAGGGTTACGGCGAAGGGGAAGTGTAGCTAATGACGGGCACAATGGAAAGAGGGAGAGGAGAGCTAGTAGTGCGGGGCCGAAGTGGTAATATTGTCTTCGTTCATGGTTTATTTTTGTAATAAGATAAAAGTAGTACAGGGTGATTCGCTGTACATGAGTTTTGCAACGGTTGGGTAGGATTAACGGGTTATTGGTATTGGTGCATGACATGGGAATTTGGGAATCAGACTGGCTAGGAGCATGCTTTTAATTAATTGACATACTATTCACATTCATGTTCATATTTATGTTGAACTCATTCTTCAACGTCTTCTATCCTATGCCTTTTACATTTGAATCGTTTTTTGACAAGCAAAACCCTCAAATTCAAATAAACGACCTTCGCTTATTTGTGTGCGTTCAGACTTTCTTTGGTCTTCTTCTTATACCAAACTTTGAATACAAGATAACTCGTAGAAGCTAGCGGTACGAATAATGTAATTCGAGAAAATTCCTTAGGGGGATGGATGTCAGATTTTGTTCTCTGAGGAAAACCAGAGATGTGAGCAGGAGTTAAGATTAGTACGAGAAAGATGGAGATAATGAATGAAAATCTGGTATCTTGTATTTATATAATATTGCCTCTGGATCACACCAGCACAACCTAAACGCGACTTCTGCCACTCAATCCTCATCATCCGAGTCAGCAAACATATCTACTGCTCGCGGTCTTGCTCTTCTCGGCGGTGCAGACTCTTCGGCCTTCACTGTCGGGTCTGGTGCTGTCTCCACAGCAGGAGGGGGTTCATACGTGTCCCCTTCATCTTCTCGTACTTGCATAGGTTCTCCATCCAGATCACCACCATCATCACTATCCACCATTGGTTCTCCGTCCACATCTTCCTCTTCCATTGGTACACCATCTACATCCTCATCATCTTCTACCATCGGTTCACCATCCAAGCCCCCTTCATCAGCTTCCTCTTTAACTTTCTCCTTTGGTGCTACCTCGACCGCTTTCCATTTGCTCTTCTCTTTGTTCTTCTCCTCCTTGCCCTTTTCCTCTATCTCTTTCAATTCTTCGGCTGATAAAGGAGGTTCCCTGAACACCTTACCGAACTCGTCTTGGCTTTCCTGTGGGAACACACACCAACCCTCCCATAAACCCAACACATTCCCTACACTTCTCTTCCACTTCTCGGCCCTTAATCTCCCCCACTTCATTTTCCGCTCCATCCTCCCCAATCCCTCAAACGTCTTTTTCCTCCGCATTTCCTGCTCGAATAGTTGTCGATAGCGCCATGCGTGTCGGACACCACTCGTAGAACTACTTGATAAAATATCAGATACAATATATAAGCCTATTAGTGACGCAGAACTGGTGTCTTCCTCCTCGGCATTATCGTCTTTTTCATCACCGCTATTATCTCTCTCCTTGTCCTTTTTGCGATCGGGATTTGCGGATGTGTAAGCAAAGGGCTTTTCGACATTAGATACAATTGCCGAGACGACTTCATCGGCTCCTCGACCTGCATGTGAGATTGCAAATGCAGTGACTCGAGCTACGTCTCCTTTTCGTAGTTTGCCAGTACTAGTAGGTAAGCGTGATAGAAGGTGTGTGAGTTTAGCCTTCTCAAGAGGGTTCAGATATGCTTTTCCGTCCTCATTTAGTGTGTTTGGGTCAATTGGAGGACGTCTAGCACCTTCATCACCAGAGTCGTCTTCGTCAGATGAGTTGTACTCAGAATCCGAAACAAATTCATCTAGACGGGTCGTGTATTCATATGCTAAAGGTTGATCGGGTTGCTTCCATGCCGAAGAACCTTCAAATAGTGGTAGGTATTTTCCTTGCCCTCTTTTGGATTGCGAACCTGTCAGCACCTCCCATAATCGCCACCGATACCAAACACCACCTGTACTCCTCGAATCCCATAACCATGCCCATTTTTCTTCTCGCTGAACGGAAGCGCGTGACATCAAGAGCGCTTCGAACTCAGGTCCATGAGTGAGAAGCGATTCAATAGTTTTGTGAATGAGTTTTAATTCTTTAATATCCTGTGGTGGCTGGACTGGAACAAAAAGTGTGGATCGGCTTAATTGAGGTGTGTTGTTATAAGAGGTAGGGGGAGCAAAGCCCCCACGATGAGACGACCCTGAAAACCCTCCGCGAGCTGCTGGTGGATTGACTGGTTTGGCGCCGAAAGGTTGCGAGGCCGCTGCACTCCCTATATTTGAAATCTGTGTAGAATTCGAGATCGCCGCTGATGACAAATGCCTATGCAAATTCAAATAATATCCAAATCCCAAGTATTTGTTTTGTAGCGAGTTGACTGTTGTGTCAATGTCATTCGCGGGGGTGTCTTTGGCCAGTGTGACGATCGCCGACATCGATTTTCTTTCCGTAAATGAGGTTGGACCAGAAGGTGGTATAATTCTGACAGCATCGACTGTCAAGTTTGTAGGGAGTAAAGCTTTAATGACAGCAGGCGAGGTACCAGGAGGTAGAGATGCCAGTCGTAAGGTGGGTTTGGCCACAGCTCTCTCCTCGTCTCTGCTGGTCCCCATGCTGTCTTCGTCATGATCGAATGTCTTGAGGACTTTTGATGCAGGTCCGTCATGACTGTAGTCGTCAAATGCAAATGGACCTTTGTCGTCTCTGCGCGAGGAGCTCTGTGCGAAGCCTTCGAATGTTCTTTTCTTTGGTAAAGGATTATTGCTCATATTCCCGGGTAAAGGCCCTAAGCTCCCCGGTCCACTGCCCATCCCTATTCCTCCTCGTGGCGCAAATCCTCCTCTACTGTCCCCAAAACCTCCTCTTCCCATTCCACTACTAAATCCTCCTCTTCCAAAATGTCTATTTCCTCCCATGCCGCCCATTCCTCCCATACCATCAGCTCCAGCTGCAGGCGCATCATCTTCATCATCGAAACTTTTCACAAAATCCTCATATACAGCCTTCGTTTCCGCCTCCTCCCTCAACCTCTTCGCTTCTGCATCTGCTTTCTGCCTCTCAAATAACGATTTCTTGGAAGGAGCTTGAAGCTTATTCGAAACATCTGGAAACTCGATGATCTTTTTGGAACTCATTTTGCAGTACTACTTTCCAATTCCATATGCGACTATAATTAGCATATCCCCTGGAGAATGAGAAATATGTGCACGAAAAGCGATGATAATGTAAAAGGCGCGACACTTATTGCGACAAGGCTGCGAGTTTGTTTCATTGGTTAAAGCTTAACATGCGCCTTTCACTGGCGCTTACTAAGATCAGCTTGTCTTAATTGCCGAAGATTATTGGTCTGCGCTGCTAACATCACTTGTCATCTCAATAACAATCAGCAACTAAACATCAAAATTCCACGCAGAAAGGAATCATACTAATCTCCATAGTTAAAATCATTTCTCTCTTTGGATGTGAATCATCTCACCAAATCCGAAGTATGGATTCACAGTCACATACTCAACATGGAAACACCGTGCTGGTGGGCCGCGTTATTTCCTAGCTTCTTTTTGTCATGTATCTTATGATTTGGTGCAGTTGCCAAATTTCTTCAAGGTTCTGGGGATCCTCTACCCCCACTATAAGTATGTGTCTCTGGGAGAAGTTATAGACTTCTCTCTTTGAATTTCCTTCTCGTCGATCTACTTATCTAGATTTTCATAGTTTTGATATATTCCCCAGAATTTAAGTGGCTTTTTCTTATCATCCATTCGTCATCACACATCCCACCCTTTTACATTGTGCGAATCTTACTTTACTTCACTACTCTTCCATCATGACAGCCTATACCCCCCCTTCGTCGATTCTCATAATCGGCACAGGTGTGTTTTCTCTAAGCACCGCCCTCGCCCTTCTAAAGAGGCCCGACTACAAAAATACAACCATAACCCTCCTCGATCGCTCTCCCTTTCCTGCTCCAGATGCCTCCTCCGTTGACTCCTCGCGCATTATCCGCGCAGACTACGGTGATCCTCTCTATGCCGAACTTGCGGACTCTGCCCAGAAACAATGGCGGCAGACAGGCGATAATGAACTTGGCGGCCAGGGTCGATACTCTGAAAGTGGTTTATGTTTAACCTGCGACACCTCATATGAGAACAGTGGGCAAGGATATGTACGATCAAGCTTTTCAAATGTTCAACAATTGATGAAACAGGCTGGAGACACAGACGGAGTCTTAGAATTACCATCAGCAGAGGCCATACAGAAACTCTTTAATGTAGGGCCAGGGAGTGGAGAATGGGGATATATCAACCGACGATCAGGATGGGCTGACGCGGGAGCCTCCTTAGTCTGGCTGCGAAAAGAGGTTGAAAAGCTTGCCGACGAACGTGTGAAATTCATCGTCTCGGAAGTCACATCGCTCATCTTCTCTCCCGATCAAAGCACGATCCTTGGGGCCAACACTGCATCTGGTACCCAATACTTTGCCGACCTCACGATTCTCGCAGCTGGGGCCTGGAGTGCCAAATTCCTCGATCTGCGCTCTCAAGTGCATTCTAGCGGACAGTGTTTGCTATACATTGATATCACAGATGAAGAACAGGAAAGATACAAAAACATCCCCGTGCTCCTTAACATGGCTACTGGTTACTTTATTCTTCCACCACGGAATAACATTTTAAAAATCGCACGCCACGCCCACGGATACTCAAACCCAACCATGATTCCCCATCCCCACCCCTCCTCCTCAGGCGAGATGATCAGCGTCTCTCTGCCCCAAACAACTTACGACCACCCCGACAATTGCGTGCCTGTCTCTTTCCAAAAGGAAGCCGCTCTAGCCCTCCACACATTCCTCCCCGATCTTCCACCCCGTCCCTTCTCACACACAAGAGTGTGCTGGTACACTGATACACCCGCCGGCGAATTCCTCATCACCTACTGCGACAAACCACAAAGTAGCGGCGGTCTTGGGCTTAAAGGTGTGTTTTTAGCAACGGGTGGTAGCGGACACGGATTCAAGTTTCTCCCCGTGCTTGGAGAGAAGATTGTGGATGTGATGGAGGGGAAGGATGAGGTGTGGGAAAAGAAGTGGGGTTGGAAGATTACGGAGGGGTGGGATGGGATGACGGATGATGGAGCCGGGCGGGTCCAAGGGGGGAGAA